GAGAAAGACGATAATTGAATTTTATCTTTCTCTATTAGAGATGAAACGTTTAAAGAGCAAGGTATTAAAAGTAAATTGACCCAGACAAACAGATAAACAGAGCGGGCGCTCTCTTTCTGGACACTTGAGGAGATCTTGTGCTAGACCTCTGTGTAACTTAGTCTCAGTAGAGCCAGTTCCCTCTGGTGAAATTTTGTCACTATTCACTTTGTTCAACTCCTCTTGGTCATTTCCTTCAGAAGATGCATTTCTGGGGCTGTTTAAGCCTAACATCCACGTCGACATATCGGTTAAATCAACCACTGCTCACTAGCGAGTTTAAAATTAACTTTAAAAGTTACAGGCCGTAGGAGTCATTCAACTGTGACCCTTTCAGCCCCTCACTGATAACGCTCGCGGATAAAACTGCGATGTAGAAGGATTGTTTCAGATTGTTCTTCGTGTGAGATTGAGAGAATGTCGGGGACCCCTGAAAGACTGCCTGCTCTTTAAAAGACAGGGGGTTGAACTCAATGACATGTAATCACTAAATATTGGGGCACCACAGGAAAGGGCTTGAATTTGAGAAGCTGTTCGCTCTGACAGAGCAACTACCTGTCACCACTAGCGGGTAGGGCACAGCTCTGTTGATTACACTTCACACATGTGGCCTGATAGCCACCTTTCTTCTTTTCAGAAAGTGAAAATGTCAAAAATAAATAGCCATCAGCAGAGGCCTAATTTACTGCTTCCTCCGACTGTTATCGACCAGTTGCTACGTCCCCCTGCAGCAGTGGTTTCACTCTTCAGAGGGCCCAGTCAAAGTCCAGCGTTGTTATTCCAGGTTCACTGCCAGAGCCCTCCCTGAGCACCATTTAGACAAACAGCTGGGGGAGTGGACTACAAAGAGGCCTTCAGTCAAGAACTGCCACTCCAAACTAAAGATGTGAGAGACTGGAAACAAGCTAGCAGCATCATGCTTGGCCTACTGGGACCTCACAGATAAAAGCAATAGGGAGACACAGGGCAGATTAGGGCCAATTTGTACTTGTTTAAACTGGGAGAAGGCACAGTAGAGAGATGGGCATCCCAGTCTGGGAGGAACATGGAAGGCTTTCAGGAATTAGACTTTGCAGGCAGGGCCACTCTCAGAGTTTCCCTGACCTTGCTACAGCTTCCAGACTAAGTCTAGCTATGATTCCCACAATATGTTTAATATAAAAAGCTTCACTTCCATCAATCCATTTTCTCGCAATTAAGTTGCTCCTTACACAAATCTGGAGCATGTTATTTTCTGTGAAATGAGATTAAGTAGCAAATAAATTGCCCCCATGGGGACACATAAAGTATTTTGAATTGAATTAAAGGATAGACACAAGACTACGGGTCTCCCAGACACAGTGATCAGTAATTTATTTTCAAACAAACACGTAGAGTTCAAAGTTTCCACTCCATCTACCTTATAGTACCATGCGTTCTCACAAACATGCCCGTTGCCCATTACTCTACAGATAGCAGGTATCTGCTGTCACAGTAAGCAGATTTAAAAAGTTGAAAAAAAAATTATTTCACACTATGACTGATGTGGCAAGGTTCCAGCAGGAAGAGTAATTCAGAAATTCTCTGGCGATTAGAAGTCTCGCGATGATGTTATCTCCAATTGAATGTGTTACGGCATTCCTGCATAAACCATTTACAAGCTGTTGCAATTAAACCTTCAGTGAGAGTAAAAGCAAGTCACAATACCACTTTACATGGAACACATTTTTAAATATCCTATAGATTTTTTAATATCTATGGTTCTGCATTCAATAGTTCCTAGAGGTTTAAAATTGATTGTGTTTAGCTTTACTGAAGTCAGGGACAAAAGAGTTTCTAACACAGATACATCCACTATCGTGTTGCAGAATTCTACTGGGACACATTAGTTAATAGGTCTGTGTACTCTTTGTGTTTATTTTCCTGGGCACTAAATGCGAAATTGGGCGCAGATTAAAGAATGGAAGTTTTGAATCTATTTCCCTCATGTACAGCCCAGCCATAAATCAGTGTCCACCCCACAGAAGGCGCTGCTTTTCCACAGGCACAAACCCACTGAAATTCCTGGGGGTATTTCTCCAAGCTTTCCCACTCTAAAACTTCATTAGCACCCTGTTAGGCGTGTGTGGAGGGGGTAAACAAGATGGAGGGAGCAGGCAGGGTAAATGCACAGAGGATTCTTTGAATCTATGTGCCTCACATTAAATTAAAATTAAATTCAAAGTTTATTACATTGTTTTTTCTCCATTCCCTGCAAAGACTTTTCTTCTACAACAGAAATGTTAATGATTGTATTAATGCCCTAGGGTAGTAAATGAACATTCAGTACAAATCCTGCAATACTTCAAATATATGTGTTTTTTGGAGTAAAATATTTTTTTATTTATCATCCCCTTTCTTTATGGATCTGACTTTTGAATAATCAAGATTTACATATATCTGCAAATTTGCATATTTGAAATGAAAAGTTCTTGTTTCATTTATCTTTATTTTAATTCTTGCTACACTTCTGAATGCAAAAAGGAACACTCCTCTTGCTTTGATTTAAAAAAAAAGTTTTTTTTGTCCTAACTGCTGCAGCTTAGGGTAACACTTAAAACTCTTCATGCTCATTTAAAGGTTTAGAACACCAGCCAAGGCAAGACAGCAGTACAAATGTTGCATTAATTAAACTGATTCAATTAAGCACAGTTCAACCCAAGTGTTTGTGTGGAGAAATTGTGATTTAGGCTATATTACCAAGTTTAAAGACATTGCAAAATGCAGCACTTTTGCTTATAGAAAGAATTTCAATATAAGCAGCAAGCTTTATAAAGGTCAAAGGCTTTCTATAATACTTACATTTGTGATACTGTAAAACACTCTCTTTGAAAGCCAAAAATGCATAACAGGGATTGCTATTAATATCTGAAATATGCAATTTAGGCATCTTTTGTTAAAACATAAAAACATACATCAGGAGAGATCAGGTTCTATAACGTGTAACTGAAAGCTTTTACGTCTTTAAAATTTCATACATGATCTAGAAACCTGGACAAAACCTCACAAACACAGGAAATTCACTCAGTTGACTCGTGGTTGAAGTATGATAATTCAGTTTTCAGAATGCCACACTGAATTAACTGAGTTTACTACATGCAGTTTTGAATGCCAGAATCTCCACTCCAAATTATTAATTCAGTCAGGTTCTCAGCTTTACTATGAGAGAGTACCAGCATTGCCAGTCTTGTACAAACAAAGAGCAAAAATTAGATGGAGTTACTCCAAGGAAAGCCTTGCAAAACCTTTAGGGATACTAAGGAAACTAACAGTATGATTTCCAAGTAATAGTGGACAGGTTATTATTTTCTTTGTTTACTTGGCTGAGTTAAAACAAATGTTTGCTTAATTTGTGCTGGGGTTTTGTTTTAGCTCACAAAAGCTCTTACGTTTCCCACAGAAAGGTGACACCAACCAACTTTTCACTTAACGTGCCCTCCTTCGTGTAACATAACAAACAGTCCAGGCTTCAAATCTGGACCTTCAAGAAGGAAAAGGAAAGAACTCGGGAAGGACACTTCCGTTTTGCAGGATGTACTTTTATGGAGAAAACTGCCCTATCTCGTCTGCTCCTGCGGACATTTCCGGAACCCAGTGGAAACCACCTGCATGTAGGAAGACACCTGTTTTGGAATCCTGAAGCTCTCCCAGGCTCCAGTGTGAAAGTGCTTGCGACTGAAAATGACATCTGAATCGAAGGAACCATCACTTGCTATCTTACTCCGATTACACTTTTGGAACACAGATGCCATTAAATGTTACAGCCAAAGCAAAACTGCGTGAGTCATCTCTTTTCCATTCTTTCCTGTGGTGTCTCCTTCTCCGGTCTGGAAGAACTGTATGTCACTGTTAATTATGGAATTTTATGACTTAGAAAACCTGGGAATAAATCCCATACTATCATACAAACTTACAAAAGTGCTATAATGATAAAGTTATAAAAGCCATACATCATCATCATTATTATTATTATTATTATTATTATTTTATTATTATTATTGGCCTTGAAACGAACGGAAACACGTTCCCTACCCTTAACTAGATGTAGACAGAATCATAATCTCTTATTCACGATTTCTTGGAACAACAGCACAGTGGAAAGACGTGTTTTGAAGTTTATCAGCCTTCTGCCCCCAGTACCGGATAACTACGACGGTTTGAATAAAAAACGCACCCAGTCTGGAGTGAGTTTCAAGAATCTAGAAAACAGAATTTTTACAGCAGCGTTGTTTTCGAGATTGAGCCTTTGTGACAAAAACATAACAAGCACAGCTTCCTCTCCAGTGGCTCCTGATTGTAAATAGCGATGCACTGTCCATGAAGCAGGCTGCGAGCTATGTTTAAAAAAATTCAAGTTCATATCCTTTCCGTAGCAACACATGAAATGCGCGGTGTCTCCTTTGTATAATCAGTGTTGGAATTACCTTAATCCAGCTTTCAAAAAGGGCTAATTCGTTTTAAATGGTTGGCACAGTTCTTTACAGACATTACAAAAAAAGTACGCAGCTCTTTATAAACTAAATGGAATCGACTAAGCCCAATTCTCTGTATGATCATATCCTGTTTCTCGCGTACACATTCCTATAGTCGTATGTAAAAAGAAGACAGGTCCTTAAGGATTTTGACAATGATAGTATATTATTATACCATGTATCGTAATTTTAAGTTAAACTTAATACATGTCTAAATCTCCATATAGTTTCCCCCCTAGAGTGCTGCAGACACGTTATGCTTTGGTATTTACTATGAGGGTCTAATCAATATCAGACCGGGATCATGCACATCTGTAAATAAAACCTAGTCACAAAGAATGCACATCAGCAGAAAAAAAAAAAACATCACAACCTATTCATGAATTCGATGAAAGGCAAAACAAACCAAAACAAAAAAAATGTTCAATTTGAAAGCGTCCAGTTAACATCTACGGAAGTTTTCAGACTAACCTTCGTATGCTTGATCTCCAGGTTGGGAACTGGCGAGGGCACGAGGTGGAGCGAAGCCACGAGCGCGGCGGGGTCTGTCTTGACTTCTCCCGGCAGTTCAATCTTACTGGAAGTCATTGCGCCTCGGCTGCCCCTTCGGTTCAGATCGGACCGGTGATTTTTTTCTACTGATTTCTGATTAAGACTTAGGGATCCTTCCTGTGTATATAACCAGGTGTCAGCTTCGGTCCATTTTTATTGGGCAGTGGGCTGGGCCGTCCTCCCAGGGATGATATAATTAAAATTTAGCATTTACATAAGCCACTCAAAGTCGGACCCTGTGGAGAGCGGCCGGAGAAAGCTGAAACCCCTTTAGTTCAGACATTTATGTGTGTTTTGCCTTTTTCTTTTCTTCCAAAGAAATCGGTTCAGCGATTACAAACAGGGAATATTATCTTGCTTGTTTAAATCTTATATCGTCTTTTGTTTACTTCTTTCCCCGTTATATAAATAGTAGAAGCATAAAAGTAAGGAATCAGTGTTTTAACAGGCGAACACAGCGGGTTTATGTAATTATAATTACAAGAGAATTAACACCTACATGCGAGCTCAAATCTGTCTGAGAGGGGGCTCTAATCATAACAAGATGCCTGAACTTAAGTTGCAAAAAATCGCAAGTGAACCCAAAACTAAAACCCTAATTAGATACGAATTGCTAAGGGAAGGCATTCAATCATTTCGTTTTGGCTTTGTGTATTAGCAGTCTTATGTTTCTTTATTCTGAATTCAAACGCGTAAAAGTTGAAATGTGCTGCAAAAATATGAAATGTTTGAATTACTTAAAGGTAAGCTATCTTTGTAAGGCAATAACGTACGCCCATCGTAAGCTGTTGTACTTGGAAATAAGGAATTCTCTGAACAAGTTGTGGTTTATAGATCTTTAACTTTGATAAAGCCAGTCTCTTACTCTTCATCTTACCAGCTAAATTATGTTTGGCCAAAAGGTTAGGTCAGCTAAATGTAGTCCGTTACCTGTCTCTCATAGTTATATTTGCATAATCATGTGTCGATGTGCCATTTGCCGCGCACTTAATTGTTTTGTTTTGTCTATAAAATCTCAATTTCGCCGGGAAAAATACATATGTGAAGTGTTTAAGAAGTGTTGGGAGTTTACTTTCCCTTTTTATTCCCTTTTTTTCCTTTTTTATTTAAAAAGATACTTAAACATCCCCGTTATATTTCCATTAAGCAATCGATATAACTGTCTATTGAAGCAATATTCTTTGTGGAGTTATATATTGTTAAAAATCAGCTTCCAAGGTTCCGCCGAGAAATCGAGACTCATTTAAAATTGTATTTTCCACCCAAAAACCCGGCGAAATGCGGAGCTACCAGCAATAGTTTTTTTTAATGGTGTCATTCAGATGAATTAACAGGAAAAACACAGTATAGTGAAATTACAGTTGTTTATTGGAGTTACAAAGATTTACATACGAGCGTGTTTTGATGCCTTGTGGAACAGCCTTGTATCCGGTAAGTATAAAGATTTAACTGTGAAAACAGTATTGAACTGTTCGTAGTGTTGTGTCTTTGCACTTTCAGGATACACGAAAATGTCTTTTCGGCTTCTTACCTGGGCAACTACGAAGTTAAATGCACTCGGAAAGGATGTCTGTTGATCAAACACGTAATAATATAATAAAATATCGAAATCTAGCGCCATTTAGATTTCTCAGGTCATAATACCATTCACCTGGCAAGCTATACTGTCTTTGGCCTGTACTAGTTCATAAAAGAGTTGCAGATCATAAACATGACAATTTAATTAACTGGCACCACGATAATCACAGCTAAACATAAGGTTGATGGGAAACCTATGCCCATTTAGAACATGCGTGATGAACTAAGATTGCTGATGCATTGACATGAAAGAACGACATATAAACTTTATTAGTTTATAAAATAGAGGAGTTCAGAACAGTGACGAGTTCCAGATTCGTATCGCAATACTCGCGTTACCTCATTGTGTGATAAATAAAACCACGACTAAAGTTCCAGCATACATCGATTTTCAGTTTATCAAAGGCTTTGGTGATGGACAAGATAGTAGAAGTGTCGAGGATGTTATAATTTGTAAATCGGTTTTTAACACCCCTCTGAAATGTTTTTTCTCCATCGCCACAACCTTTCTTCACAGCATGAGCGTCTTTCTGAAAATGCGTCTGCTTTACATCAAAGACGACAATTCCGAAAGAGTGACCATGATGGATGAAGTCAAAACATTTCCTCTACAGTCGCCACACTACAGTATTGCGAAATGTTGTGAGTCCAACTTTTTTGTAAATTATTATTCCCCGGGCGCCCTCTGCTGGAAATGTAAACTTTTATTTTCCGTGAGCATGTTCCTCGGTCAATATTTGGTAAAAAGTAACGCAGCAGCAACACAAAACTTGCAAATCCCGAATAATAAACATCGGATTCAGACCCACCAAACAATAACTCCATTCCAGAACAAATATTCTTAATGGGGCTTCCACCGGACCAACGCAAAAAGCTTGAATGTGAATGTGAAGTGGAAAATTCTGTATGAATATTGGCTGCTACAATTTACCAACAAATAAAAATAGTCATTGTTAAATTTAAGTTCCGATCTGTAAAAGGGAAATTTAAACTAACGCTTTACATACGTAAAGCTTTCATTTGAACCCCAGTATAGAGTAAATAAAAAAAATGTTAATGAATGCGTGGTTGAGTTCATTTTTCTTTTCGATGGGTTTTGGCCTGAAATGTATACATAAATTAGACATAATAATTAATATATTCATTACAATTTATGCTTAAATTAATACAGTCGATAAAATAATAACATGTCGATAAATGTAATTTTCAGGATTTTGAAATACTGAATATTCTGCAACGTCTGTTCGATATTTCGAAATTTTGATTGCACGACCTCGCCTAGATGTGTGTAATAAATACAATAACAATTACAAAGTTCGAGCAGCGCCAAGGAAGAAGAAAGCAGAAAACAGTGGAAACGTCTTCTTACATCCTTCTACTTTTCAGTGTGGAACTAACCTCTATATGCTGGCTCCTTAACCAGATAGCTAGGAAAAGTACCTGCAAATACTGTATATCGTTTTTTTTTTAGAATTGTTAATAAACTCAATAGTTTAGCTCTAGAAATACAAGTCAGGAACGGGGCTCAAAAACTCCAAAAAATGAAAGAAAATACTAATTAGCAATTATTTGCTGCATTTCAGATCAAATTGATGTTGGTCGAGTATATACTGGTGGTGGGTGCTGTACATTGGTGGTGGTGGAGGGGAGTCCCCATAAGCTGTAGGGCGTTTTGAATGGAGGGTCCAGAAAAGCGCTATATAAGTGTAAGCAATTATTATTATTATTATTATTGTTGTTATTATAGAGGGTAGCATGAGACACCCTGGTGCGTGTTTTAGCTCGATTCCGGATGACAAAGAAGTGGAATTGCTAAAGGCACAGGCCGAGACCACCTGAGCCTACAGTAAATGATTGAGCTCCTCGGAAGAGGGCAGTCTTTAGCTGAAGAAATGGACGTCCTTCGTTATTAGCGATTTCTCTTTGATGCCCGTCATGGTCTTTAACAAAGAAGGAAGTGTTCAGAATCATTCGAATGTGTTTTTCATGTTAACAGAGGGGTGGCTACATTTCAGTCCGTTGGGAATAATTAAAGATGATGCGCAGGTAATGTTTCTTAGCAGCGGGCCTGCATCTGTGTCACACCTGAACAGTATTTCTGTCGGGGATCCACTTTCGAGCCCCAGTTCGGAAGGAAAAGGCCATTTAATCTAATGCGGGCCACCAAGAAAAAATGAAATATTCGCAAACAAGTAGATGTCTATAGCTGAGATTTTAAGTATCATGTCTGCGCTGTGAAGTTTAAACTGTCTGCAAACGGATTTTTGTGATCAGCAGTTTTAAAGAATATATTTCTGGGGTTCTTCGTTGTGTTGCCGGTTGAGATTGTCTATATGTTCTATGAGACAGTTCTGGAGCGTATTTCTTTTATCTTGCCCAACGTTGTGAATCACCTAATAATTACAAAAAAATAATTATAGTGAGGACAGATATGGCAGTTAATGCTAAATGCACTTTTCTTTTCTCCGATAAATCCTAGGTGTAAAAGTTCGTTACCATCTCCAAATTATGACAGACAATGCCTTACTGTACAACAATGCAAATTAAAAAATATTTAAACATGTATCTATACATGACTTCTATTTTAGCAACAATTTTGTTATATTAACATGTTTGTTAGTAGGTCAGGTGGGTAGCTGTGTCAGCATGTGTAGTCTGCAAAGGACCAAGTAATAGGTTTATTCCATGCTGAAAAGAGAGGAGAGAAAACACAACGTTATACTATGAGAAAATACGGCAATAAAGATTTATGCTTTCAGTCTGTTTTTTGTAAATCTGTTGTAGGTAGATGAACCATAAAACGATGAAGAACATGTGTCTTATATAAAAGTGGTTTTGTTTAACATATATTATCGGTTTAATTAGGCTAAAGATGAACTGAAATCTGGGATCTTTCAAATGAAATCTGAAACATTTAACTTATAGCTGACCAAGCGGTATTCTATCGCCTAGAGGGAGTTGCGAGTACTAGCCTATAATTTTTATTAAGTAGGCTACAGGGCAATTCACTCTAGATGTGCTGTCAGTTTGAGGTTTTTCACGACAGCTGAAACAACAATTCCGGAAAAAAATAAATGAAGAAACACCACAAATCCTTTTAAGCCCCTACAAAGAGCTATTTCCGACCCAAGAGCCCCGTCGCCACCAACTCTGGAGTCTTCTGTGGCTTTTAGATATCACTCTTTCCTGCTCCAGGAAATTCAAATGCTGTGAGGCTTCGATTCCTTATAAATTGAAGTTAAATGTTATGCAGCAAATTAAATATATTTAATTACCCTTACGAAAAGAAATGACTAAAATTGCGTTTACAAGAAATGTCCTCATCCTTTATAGAAACCTAGGAAAGGGTTATATGGACTTCTAGGACATTTCTCTGGAATCTTTAAGTCACCTATTGAATTTCGTAGCTAGCTGAGCAGCTCAAGAAATGTAATTTACCTGAACCCTTTAAGTTAGATTGGCGCAATGCTGAAATTCCAGAAACCGAGATTGCTCCTTTAACGCACATTTTAGCCTTGAAGTGAAGTAATGATTAAACTGTGAGCATCGATTTCTCCTCTACCCAGCTTTTGAGTTCAAGTTAAAGGTGGTCCAATGTTTTTTTTTTTAACCAAACAAAGACATTTGAAAGCGGAACAAAGCGTTTGGCAATCTTACTGGTGAGAATAAAACTGTTTGAAACAGGGTGGTGGTGGGGGGTGGATTCTATAAAGTTAATTGATCTCGTCGGTGGCTCTTGGTACGGTCGAGCTCTTGGGGGGGGGAATCGGGGATCGAAATAGACTAACCCGCCAGCGACCCCAGACAGACAAGCTCGGCGAAGGTTTTAAAAGCGGGGCAGCTGAACCGCGCGACACAGCCAGGCTTGTCAGTCCCCTCTCCTGCGAGGAGACAAGGTAGCTCAGTCAGCGGACGATGGAGAGGAAAACTAGGAGGAACCTGCGGGAGCGCTTCGCCCTGAAGAACAGCATTGTCAAGGAAGCCTTGGCAGAATTCCTCGGGACATTCGTACTCATCGTAAGTTCCCTCACAGTGACCGAGCGAGTTCATTTAACATCGGCAGGTTAAGAATGGCACCTGTTGTCCTTGCTACCACAAGGAGTATGTATGAGGGGTAGTACTACTGTGAGACACAGTGTTTAGTGTTTTGTGTAATGTTTAATTTGTTTGGTGTGAGTCAAGTTGTGTTTACTCTCTGACCCAGGGAAAAGTGGACGGTTGAGGAGAGAATGCAGGCGCGCGGTGTGTCCGTTATTCTTTTTCTTCTTCTTGCTTGGGCTGCTAGTTTTGTTGGGGTTTTTTTTAATCAATAAAGTGTGATAATCGGCCCGTGAAAGCTCTTTTTCCTTCACGTGAATGCCTAAAACCCTATACCGAACCCAGGATTTTACAGATATTTTTACATATACGTAACTCTTTTTTAGAATGAAAAAAAAAACACGTTTTTCGTGAACAAGAGGAGTTATGACTGATTCATGTAATGAAGCAACTCTGTGATTTTCACGAAAAGAGGGGTTGACTCATGTCTTTGATACTGGAAATTCATCGTCTCTTACAAGAACATTCATCAAATAGCTTGTTCACCGTCTCTGCCAATGGACGGAGGCGAACTGAAAACCCTGGTGTCTTCAGAAAGCTGAAATCTGAAATGTGGCCATCAGGATAGTAGTCGGAAAAGACCAGTCAAAGTGCTGATGTTGGTGAAGAGTTATTTCGACTGGCGAAGTAGCCCATGAACGTGGTATTAGAAACAATCTTCTGTTTTATAATATTTGAAACACATTGCGTTATTCGTTTTAACAACTAAATACTTAAATGAAACAACTCTCATCACTTAATAGATATCATGTATCGATTATAGAGACGCGACATATTTCAAAATTGTAATCTTCTATAGTTGAGGTAGGCAGTGTGGAAGCTGCCGTGCTTTTCTGCTTGGGCTCGGTCTGAGCTCACTTTTGGAAAAGTGTCTTGTTTTGTTCCGCACTGCGGTGAGTGTTACAGAGCAATTCAACGATTAAGTCCATTGCAAACGTGTAAAACAAAACAAAATGTTCAATTATCAAAAGTATTTGATTAAACAATATTTAGCCCCGTTGCCCCCAATACAGAAAGTTGCTGACACCAATATCTATGCGTAATGTTTGGCCTGTTTTGGACTAATATACTGTACAAGTTAACCTCTTATATGATATTAGCCTTTTGTCAATGAGACTGCTATTTGGACCCTTTACAGAACTATCTAATCATATACCTTTTAACTGTCAAATGTTAGGTGTAGTAATTGTGCTGCTTCTGAACTGCAGTTCTGCACCTGCTACTACAGTGTTCCTTTCCCCTGATTAACCCGAGGACAGTTTGCTTCTCTGTGGGTAAACGAATCAATTAAAATATCAAACGAGGCTATTTTCGGAGTTTCCTCGTTATTTTGTTTTTGTTTCTTCCACAAGACTGGATAACTACCCGCCCCACCCCCTCTTTTTTCTGTGGCTTTGCCCGGGAATGAAACAGTGATTCAAAAGCCCATCTAATTGAATGTGACGGCCGCAATACAAATCAGTATTTTTTTCTTCTTCGCATAATTAGACTCTGGAAACAACGGTCCTTTTTGTTTCTTTGAATCGCAGCTTTTCGGCTGTGGGTCAGTTGCCCAGACCGTTTTGAGTCGCGGTGCCGTGGGAGAGATGCTGACCATCCACATCGGATTCACTCTGGGTGTGACCATGGCGGTGTACGTGGCCGGAGGAGTGTCAGGTAACGGAAAACCCAACACACTGCCACTGACAGACTGAGTCGTCTTAGTCATCTTTCTGAACCCCTAAATACGTACCGCTGTGCGGAGTAGGTCGTGAAGCACGTCGGCCCATGTTAACAGAAACCTCTCTTGCACAGTAATGCTGTGCAGCAAATTCTGAAAAAAAACACATGGAGATCTGCGCAGCTCTTGCAGCACAGATTTAATTTCTTGTACTAATAGCTGAGAATTCCTTTGCAACATCCTTTCTGAGTCGTTGATCACAGCAAAGAAGACTGGTGCCAGAGTGCTGGTTAATAGATTGATTATTCCATCAGTACGCTCTAAATATTAATACTGGGAGCACTGGTAAAGTCTGAGCTTCTTTTAGTGGATATCAGGGGTGCATTTCTGGCATATCATCATATACAGATCTATCAGAATCTCTTCACACATCACATCCATCCAATGCATTACAGGAAAATGTTCCAAGAGGAGGATCCTAGAAATACTGTTGATATTATTTTGGCTAATTTAATACCAAGGCTTCCTGATCATGGCATGACCTAACGTAAATGTGAGGAAGGCGGAATGACTTTATCCCTGTCCACTGAAACCCTGGAAGTTGACGTGTGACTGGCACAGTGTCTGCTGCTTGCTCACAGACAAAGAACGCAGTGTAGTGATGTGCTGGAGACCTGCAGAGAATGCTTTTGCTAAGCCCAACCAGTGCAGTGTAACAGGAGCCCAGTGCCTGGCCTTGTACCTTACAAATATCTGAAAAAGTTTTTCAATGCTGATCAGCTGATTCAAGTATTTCAGAGTGACTTCAGTCAGTCAGGCAGCAATGACAGAATGGAAATACTCAGTGTGTTGAAACTGAAGGAACAGTACACACAGAGCAACTACATTCCAGACAAACATCGACATGATCTATAGCTATTACCATGGAAACCCATGCACTATGCAATAAGTGTCACAACAAGCTATAGAAGTGTGTGTACAGGGAGGTAGGTGCAGTGGGTGGTGCATTTGAGTGTACAGCCATAATCCTTTAGATAAAACATTAATCAGTTACTTTCTGCCAACATAGTGGTTATTGTGAGCAGTTTGACTACACATTACATATCCCCATTGGCAAAGCTGTGGCTAGATATTACTGACATGCAAAGCTAAACACCCATTTCATGCAATCCTGAATGGATTTTATGTGTTTGCTTCCCTAGGATTACTGCAGAAAAAATTATAGGAATAAGAAAAATTATACTTATTAAGAATTAATTAATGGTTTTCTTATCAACCTGCTAAGATATCGTAATGTCCACGAATCAACTCTGTGAGCTTTTTTTTTATGAAGATTTTTGGCTTACCATTTATACAATAGAATCTGTTTAGGTTTCAATTAAAATAAATAGAAGTGTCTGCGTACAGTATGTCCCTTTAAGGGTGCATGCTACACATAATGGACAAATAATACAGGACAGATCTAATAAAAAATAGCCAGAATGTTAGAGGCTTTGATTTTTTTATCCTGTTGACAGTGAACGGATTTTTCTGGTCTGGTCAGCCACAGCAGTGCTCTTCTTTTCCATGGGAAAAATTTTTCACTTCTGCACAGTAGATTAGCAACACGAGTTTTATACCAACAACCGTTTCCACATCGCCAGAGAGAAATGCCGCATGCCGTCTTTTGTAATAACTTTGACCACAGCTACACATTTCGCTTTCTGCCGCACCAAGAGAAAATACATCTCTCAAAACAAGCAGCCTTGCAATTTTTTTAAGTATTGATTATTTGTTAGCCATAAACACGCTGCCCCCTGCCAGTCAAGCATTGCCATATTATGGCATAATCTCTCTTAGGCCACATTACACACTTCCCTGAGTAGGAAGCTCCTTTCTCATCTGCTTTCAACAGTAACAATCAGTGTGGACAGCGACACAGGGTACTTTTATCTTCCACCCACATGACCAAGAAAAACCTACTGTACAGGCTGTGAAATGACATCTGTGATGATCACCTGAGATATCGGACTAATGAGCTTTTCTGGGGCACAGGATCCTTGTATGAGGCGACCGTGTTGGAATCGGGTGTGGGCAACCTGTGGATTTCCACTATTCCTTTCTTAGTCTACACGAAATCTTCCCACCAACAGAAGCTGGTTTGTTTTTTTTGGTGGGGATGTGGGAAAGATGTGAGCTGGAGGAACTGGGTGTTCATTCTGTGCAGAACCCTTGCACTAGTTCACTCCACGCTCTGAAATTGTTTTAAGCAGATTTAGCCGGCTTATGTCAGACTCAATTCAGACAGACTCTTTCAGCCTGTTGTTGTTGTGCTGCTCTTTCTGAATGGGATATGGATTAGTTCACAGTGTGTAGGATGACGCCCCAGTGGTATCAGCCTAGCAGAGGTCATACATAACCTTGGGGGCTAGACAAATGGCGTGAGCGCGATTGATCGCGGTGATGGTGGCCGTAGGGCCTGTTGTCACATGAAAACTTGAAGGCATTTGGTCAAATGATGGGAGAGAAAAGAGCAAAGCAGTCCATCTCCAGATACATGTTCCATTCCAGATTCATTTCTAAATCCAGCCTTCCATCTGAGAATATGTGTCTGCCAAAAGAGCATGTTAAAATACACCAGGAAACAGACATGTTGGTTGCAAAAATACCTGAACTGAATTAAAAGAAGAGCAAAGACAGAGCCAAACACCTGCATCGTGATATTTTACAACATGGTGAAGTACAAAGTACAGACAACACAAGATGCTCAGAAGTGCTATATCTGTGTACCACAAAGCGTTTTGTTGCTGAATATCACAGTGGGAAGCACTGTGATCTACAGGGTGTTTCTCCTTTAAAATAAAAAGATAGTCTGTCACACTGTCCCTTGTCTCTTTTAAAGAAAAGGCAAAAAGTAAAAACAATGGATTATTCGAGATGTATGAGGATGCAATGCACCTGTTGCTGGCTGAGAGTTAATTATACTGGTTTCATCTTTACCTAAATCTGCCTAATATTTATTGGAGTAGCTTGTCAACTACCCAGTCACTTAAGCCACAAATATTGCTTTTTGCTGCCTGGATATATCACAGTGCCATTTTACCATTCTGGTAAGCTCTTGTTTTGTGGCATGCCTTTAGATCCTTACAGCTAGAATGTAACAGTTGCTCTTCTCCTTAATTCAATTTTATTGCCTTTGGCAATTGGTTCATGGATACAAGCAAGAGTGATATCAAATTACATCATGTGTGGATGGAGTGGTAAATAGAATTAATATCTTGGATCAGCTTGCCCACTTATTACTTAGGTTAAAAAATACTGAAAATTAAATTGCATTCTTCTAGTGAGACAGGCTGGAAACACTAGGGAGAAGTGCATCACAAGCAATCTGAGAGTGAGAAGTAATTCCAGCCCATTATTCTGTTTGAATTAGCAGTGCTTGTTACACTGTTCACTTCATTGAAGCCGAGGAAAAAGTAAACGGGGATTTTTAAAATATGTTTTATTTTCATTAAACTTTATAGAATATGTGCCTTTATAGAATATGTGCCAGAATATTGCAAAAGAGGTTGATCCTCTTTTGCAATGACATGATCAATCTGTCAACTAATTTTTATGATTCATGGAATTATACAGCAATTTGCATCCCAGAGGATCCCAATAACCTTTAAACATATAAGATGTGCCATCACTAGGCTTCTCCCACAGAAATCCCTGTGGATACCGCTCACCCAGGAGCAACTTTAGAAACGTTGCTGCAGGAGACGCAAGATCACACAGAGGTCCAGAGTAGCCCAGCTAATGATTTCTTTAACCATTTTTTTAGTCTTGAGAACCGTTTCCACCATGCTCAAGCCCACCCAACAGAATGGGGTGAGATTTCATTTACCTCTCTGCTGCACGGAAGCAGAGAGGTAAGGGTTCAGGGAAAAAAAACTTTTTTTCTAGTAACTGCCTGTCACTTTCAAACAGCCAGCAGTACCAAGTGACAACGGTAAGTGAGGACAGGAAGAAGACAGAACAACCAAACCGTTAAGGAGTGTGCACTTCGGAAACAGGGTTTGTAGCTGGTGTTGAGTCTTGATTGTGGCTTACCGTCTTGGGCATGACTGGGACAGCCTCACACACTGCTTCCCCATGGCCCAGGCTGTGCTATCACAGCTGATGGGTGTTGCCAAGCTCTTGTAACAGCACTGTGGATGCAATCCTAAACCTTTCAAGCCTCAAGGCATCTTTAATGAAGTAGGTGAAATACAAGAAGGCATTTAAATGAACAGTGTAACTTGAAACATCCTTTTAATAAATAATTAAATAAGATATTCCACCGCTAGAATGCTGAAAAGTAGGAAGAAAGAAAAGACACAATGTTTTGGCTGTTACGTCTTCCTCGGCTGTAAAGAAGGATCTCACACCAGGGGGAGACCCAAAACCAAAACGTTGTTTTTTTTTAATTCTACTTTTCAGCTCGGAATTAACTTTACTTATTCAACGCACACCAACACAGTTTGAATCCCTAACACGCACAATGAGCGCCTTGCAGGTCTAGACACATTTTTTTTTAGTCTGAATAACGACGCAATTCCAACGTTGGTAAAAAAGTTCGAAATGGATCCTTTGGGAAAAGGGCCCATACAGCGCTTCTAGAAAAGGCATTATTGGGAGATTTTCATTTTAGAATTGTGAGATACTTACTAGCAGAATCTGGAAAATGCTTCATTCGGATTAAGATGAACTCTTGGTTAAATCGCGCTTTTTTTTTGGCTGGATTTCCAGGGGCACACGTGAACCCCGCGGTGTCCCTCGCCATGCTGGTGCTGGGCAAGTTGAAGCTGGTGAAGTTCCCGGTGTACGTGCTCGCACAGTTCCTCGGCGCCTTTGCCGGGGCTGCAGCCGTGTACGGGCTGTATTACGGTACGTATGAAAATGTCCCCGAAGTTCCTCATTTTCATCTAGGGCTAAATCATTCTGCTTCTGTCTGTAGGCCCGCGTCACAGGGAAGAAGGATTCCCCATTCAAATTATTTTCGCGTGCTTTTGAGGAAAGAAAGTAATAATATTAGGGCCCTGGAATTTGGAAATGAAGTTACTTCAAAAGTGGTTCGTTCCTAGAGCCACAACATTCATACATTCTAATAAATTAAATCTAATAAATTCTAAAGAATGTAATTGGATTAATCAACGCACACCCGTGGACTGGTGTGTATATTCACATAAAAATGAAGAAAAGACCCAGGGTTAAGTGATTTGACTGAAATTCTGTTTGATATGTGTCTCGTGCTTTTCAGCGTTCAGTGAGGTTACACAGGCCTTGAGTGTGAACAGAATAAATGGAAAGTCTATTGATTGTTACAGTGGAATGCTCAAATGGGTCCCCAGACCTTTTATAGGACAGAAAACCTTGAAAGCATGTCAGGTTACATTCCAAACACTATTTATGTTGCTGGACTTGGAAGCTGTATCCTAATTACAAAACCAGTGAATACTGCCCAACTGCCTGTCACTAGATTGGGTGTCTGCTAGTGTTGAAGATTTGTACTGTATATCAGTTTTGGACCTCCCTAGCAATGATTCAAGAAAAAATGTAATATGTACCTGATTTTACATTAACCGAGATTGAAGAAATACTCAATTTCTCAAATGCCGTGTCTGTAAACTTCCTGCATATTATGCCCTTTATATATTTTTTTTAAAATGATACTATCATAAGGGGCTATTATTTGCTCACATACGTATTAAATATAATATATAAAACAAGTATAATAAACTGATTAGCAAGGGAATGATGTGCAGCAAAATGTCCAATGGTGACACTGTGAAATGTACCAACCCTGTGTTGTATTCTAGATGCCTTTATGGATTACACCAATGGAATACTAATTGTTACTGGTCCCAACGCTACAGCACATATCTTTGCATCATATCCGGGAAGACACTTGTCAATCCTAAATGGATTCATAGATCAGGTGAGTGCCGGGTGGTGATAAAGAAAATGGATATTACACTCCTTTCTGCATTGCATCCTCCATCATCAGTGACATCCGTTATCCACCATTATCTCTAAACTGCGTAATGATTTTGCACAGCATGGATGGCAGAGGGGGGCAGTGTGGTGGCGAATGATTAGCATTGCTGCCTCACAGCACTGTGGCCCAGGGCTCAGTTCCGAACCTGGGGTGCTATCTGTGTGGAGGATGTATGTTCTCCCCATGTTCACGTTTTCTCTGGGATAATTGGCTTCTGGGAAGGTTGGCACTTCCAGAACGAATGTGTGCATGTTTGTGTCTGGGTGTCCCCTGCCATGGACTGGCGTCCTGCCCAGATTTTTGATATAGTGATATAGATTTTTCTTTGCTCATCTTAAATTTCAGTCATGATTACTGGTGCTAAAATTTAAAATCTGGACAATGTGGCTTTAAATTAAACTAGAGACCTTAATGACCTAACATTTTAAAATACAACAATAAACCTATGGCCAAGACTCTGTACCTACTGAATATTTTAATGATAAATCTTACCTGAAAGCAAATATCCAATATTGAATTCAAATTTTAAGATAAAATTTCTTAGACATAAAATTTAGGATTATGTTGGAATTCAAATTACATATTGGAATGTAAAATTATATGGTTGTTGCCAATGTATATCTTTTTTATTATTAAATAAAGAAAGTGAAGCACTGTTGTTCTTAAGGTAGAAAAACAAACATGACTACACTAATTCAATTAGTGCCATGGTTTTTAGGATAGACATCTAATGCAAAAAATATCTACAGCTAATCACTTAAAATTGATTATTCCAAATGTTAAAAGCACTTTTCTCCATTAGCAGCTGTTGTGGGATCCTCATTCATTTGTAGGTTTCCCAAATATGCACTTTCATTGTGGCTGACCTTTGCCTCAGATGGTAAAGATGAAAATGTGGACAATGCTATATGCAATCAGGGTTAAAAAAAACAGGAAGTGTGTGAGACATAATACTTAAGTACTTTCTGAATGAACCAATTAGGTTTGTCTATTCAGTGCTAAATCCCAGGTTTTGGTTCGATATCGGGCAGCTTGATGTTATAGCGGTTTGGTGTTGCTGCTCACAGTGCTAGTGTCCTAGGTTCAATTCTGGAGCTGGAGTGCTGTCTGTGTGGAGTTCGTATGGTCTTCCTGTGTGCGTGTAGGATTCCTCCCTTAGTCCAAAAACATACAGGTAGATTAATTGGTTTCTGAGAAAGTTGGCCCTGGTGTGAGTGTTTGTGTGTCTGCCCAGTGATGGACTGATGTCCTGTCCAGGGTGTAACAAATGTCCAGGGTGTCCAGCCTGTTGTTTGCTGGGATAGGCTTCAGCTCCACTGCAGCTCTTAAATGGAAGAAGTGGTTAGAACATGGATTATTATTGGTTCAATATCTTTGGAAGTGTTATTTCCAAATGCTTTCTTCCATAAAATAAATCATCTTCTTGAGCTCTGGATTAGTTGAGCTCTTATTACAGCAATTGTGCAGTATGATTCTAGCTCACCTCTCCTGTCCCTTGTGTGACACAGGTCATAGGGACGGGCGCCCTGGTGCTTTGTATTCTGGCCATTGTGGATGGGAAGAACAATGGGGCTCCCAAAGGAATGGAGCCTTTAGTGATTGGGCTGATCATCATGGCTATTGGGGTCTCCATGGGACTGAACTGTGGGTACCCTATAAATCCTGCCCGGGACCTCGGCCCACGCCTGTTCACTGCAGTGGCAGGATGGGGAAGAGATGTCTTCAGGTAGGACATTGTTCTACAGCACTTTGCATAACACCAAGGACAGGGGCCTAGCTACTTCCTGCAGAATAACTCTAACCAGCCTTCCCTCTCCACAGTAAAATCGAAACTGGAGCCCAGAGTTTCAACGTTACAGGGAGATAAGTCAAAGCCAGAGTTCATCAGTGACATTTACGGGATTGCAATTGAAAGGTCAGCAAAATCATGGCTCCATGATTTCTTCCTTCAAGGAAACGTCAGATAAAGTTTCACAAGTCTGTGTTAAGGAAGTTAAGTCTCTTAAGTTCTCTTTACATGCCTACCCCATTACTTTCCAGCTTTGTGAGTTTTACCATGTCCCTGTTACAATGCACAGCCTGTCAATGTCCAGTCCAGCTGCACAGAATTCCTGTTCGTTGTGCCGGGGCTTTTCTTTCACACAGAGAATGGGTAGTGAGGGAACTGAGTGCAAGTAAGATGAAGTGACCGGTCACATTGCGCCTTCACACAACAGGACGGTTTTCAAGCTTTCTGGTATCCTGACATCTGAAATTAACCTTTATTATAAAGGTTTATCATCTGCACACTGAATAAATGATGCCCTTAATATAACCATTATATGACCCTTAATGAAGAAGCCAGTAGTCTTTTCCTTTGAGAGGAAAAGGATAGTTTCACTAATTCTGCTTCCCAGCTGTGCCGTTATTTTTAATCGCCATCTTATAGGATGTGTGGTTAAACCTGTAACAGCTGCCTTTGCATTACTTTTATCACAATTTTCAACAAAGTTGAAGGCCACACTGTGTAAACTGTTCTTGCTTGTTTATGAAGGATTTACAGCCCAAGAGAGGAAGAAAGCACCAGTTTAATATCAGGGGCTGATAATACTCTCTGCTACCGGTAGATAAGGTACTGTAAGGTCCAGGAGAGGGCACCCTTTCCTCTAAATAAGACCACACTTCAGAAACGTCTTTACAACGAAGATAATTGTGTTTACAGTACATCTGACTTCTACTATATGTGCTTCTACAGTATAAGTGTATGCTAATGTGTATAAAAAGTCAAAAACTATAAATGTTCAATAATTTAACCTAGCATTTTTGATGCAGATTAAAGGGGAAACAGGTAAAATAAAAGATGGTGACTCATTTCTATTGAATTCAATAATCAGAAAGTACTCCAAAGAGGTACAGTTCACAAATGGTGAATCATGTGGACTAATCTGCAGAGGGGGCTCAGCTGAGTAATGATCATAATCCACCAGACTCGATCAGCTATGACCCAGTAGCCTTAACAGGAAATACCTTTAAAGCAGATTTAGAGCAGATGTGCTGGAAAAGGCTTCTGCTACTCAGGGTTGTCACAGACTTCCATCTAGGCTTGCCAAATCGTGGCAAAAACCAACAGAATCAACCGTCAATCAAATGTCCTTCAATGGGCACAGCAGTAGCTAACACTGTGGTAAAATCGATAAGCAAGCCAGTCAGAGAACATTACGTTTCCTGTTGCGCTGGTTTTAGTCACACTCTGACCTACAGTATAATCATCACTCAGTGAGAAGTGATGGGAACTCACTGGCTCTGGCTTCAAAGTCATCACCCTTTAGAGCTGAAGAGCTCTTTGATAGCAGAGGGTGTTAGCTCTTTCTGTAGAAAAGAAATAATCTCACTGATCACCAAAACACTCATCGGGACAAAATGTAGACAAATTAAGAGGCAAATACTCTATACACTGTTTTTTATGTTAACTTTTGATACCTTTTACACTTTTAGATTCCTTTTTTTTTAAACTAAGGCACGCATTTGTTATTATCTTCTATAAGCAGTTACAGTCATGGTTTTCATGTACTGCAAACAAATTATGACCATAAAGGAATTCCTCAGATAATCCAGCATGAAGACACAAAGCAAAGCTACTAGAGGAGAAAGGGTTTGCCTTGTGTGCAGGGGTGTCCCCGGCCGTCATGTTGCCTGTTCTGTCTCTGCAGCGCTGGGAGGAACTGGTGGTGGATTCCAGTGTCTGGCCCGTTGGTGGGCGGGGTTGTAGGAGCTGTGTTGTACCTGTTGTTCATTGAGCTGCACCACGCCGAGCCGCAGAAGCACCTGGAAGAAGAGAACAGCGTCAAGGAAAAGTATGAAATGATAATGAGCTAAGGTCCTGCAGCGGGGCCTGCGGTGCTGCTCCACTCACTTCGACGCTGCTAGATTAGACCTGAAGAACTGCTTGTCACATGCGCTGGGAGGACACTCTAGGATTCTGCGGTCAAGAACAGGCCCCTGTGATAGAACAAGGGCAGCTCAGTTGTAGGAACTCTACTGTAAGACTGGAACAATCCCACTCTCAGTACAGCTCATAGACTTTGTTGCAAATGGAAAGCATTGACACAGACAACATACACAGAAAGGGCCATTAGTATGCTTCCTAGGGCAATATTCTTCTCTGTTTTTCTTCATAAAACAGGGGATGTTAATCTGGTAGAACTGCACATCAAGCTAACTTCTTATTTTAGTGTTCGGCCCTTAAAAATGTTACTTTTGCTTTCAGGAAATGCAGGAAAATAACTGTAGACGGAGGTTTGAAGTGTAAAACGTTTGAAGAATTATCCAGGAGTTTTGACTTTCGGTCACTGAATATGAAGGTAGGGCTTATGAGAGGTGGCTCCCAGTATCCAGCATTTTCCTCTTGTTATGAGCCAGGAAAGAAGCATCCTATAGCTTTGTAATTTGAAAAAATTACACCGGCAAATATCCTGCCATAGAATGTTTTCATTTCTGAGAAAATTATGGCTCATAATGCAAAAATCAGTTAGTGGAATGTCCTTTAAATTAACAACTTGAACATCTTTCCCAGCATCCTTCCACTCATCATAAATATTTCACAGTTTTATGCTAAATGGCTAATGCATTCCCTACTCAAATATGCCTTCTGTCATGACATTCAGTGGGTTTGAGAGTGATGTCGTATAGGCATGTATCTCCTCTCTATTATAAATTGCAGTGAGCACCTTTTATGCCCCACAAAATTCACCCTTAACGTGTGCGAAGTGTCAGCATTTTCTTTATGGTCTTTGAAAAGAAAACCAGTGTTTGCCAGAAAACCAGTGACCAAACCAGTGGTCTTCCACTTGGTCCTTGTTAATTCATTTTAAAGAGTAATGTAAATAAAAGCTCTAGAACTGGAAAGCACACAAGCCACAGTGGAATATGTGCAAAGTAGTTTAAAGGGGAGTGCAAACAGACTATAGCACACACAGCAACCCACAATGAAAACCAAGAAACCGGACATGTTTCTGAGCTGCTGCAGTTCACTGTGGAGTTGCTACACCCCATTACTGACAGAAGGGCGGCGCTTTTAGAAAGATTTCACACGTCCTTCCCGGTGCCATATCGTATGACAGACAAAAGGCAGAGGGTGACCTCACAACGTGTTTCCTTTGGCCGTGGCTGGGTGAATGGTGCAGTCCATCTGGATATGGCACATGCACATTTGGATCCACATGTGGATACACGTATCCATCTGCTGATACTAGCGGTTAAGCAGGGAGAGTCAGGGGAGCTCTGCTGGACAGAGCTAGGCTCTGCGTCCCTCACAGGAATGTGCTAGCGAGCTCACATAATTACTTACTAAAACTAGATAACACGCGGTGTAGCTAAATACAAAAAAAGAGCTTGGATGGCTTGGAAGGAGCACTTTAGTTTGTGACTCTGTTAGAAAGCATCCCAAACCTTCTTTCTTTTTACAGTAAAGCACATCAGGCCACTGACTGCCACCTCTAGGCCACTCTGTGTAGGAGCATACTGGATTCTACAACCTCTGTTGACAGGTTTTTCTTCTTCTATATCTTAATATGTAGTATCTGTTACATTAAAATTAGATCTATATGATATACAATAGTTTTTAAATTAGATCTACAGTATACTTTATAATAGATTTTTTCAGATGATGTGTAACTATAAAAACGTGTTTTGCCACAGTTAATGGTACATCGGTCTCACAATGGCTATTTCAGCTCACTGTGGTTTCATTACAGAATTTAATAAACGTGTTGTATTGAGTAATTGACCCAGCTTTGGGTGAAAACGTGTTTTTGTTTTTGTTACTTTCTTTTGCTGTTACAGTCGCTATCTGTACTGTCTGCCTCCTCCATGGATTTACTTTCAACACAGCTTTGACAAATTAACTGTCACCTTCTTGTAAAATAATGAAAATGTACCATAAAACATAAATAAACACTAAAAATGTTTAATAATGCCTCCATTGTGCGTATCATTAATATCTCCATTTATTTACACTTATAGAAAGATTCTATTAAGTACACAACTATACACATATTTAGTAAAAGGTTGTTTGCTGGTCAAAGAGTCAGTTAAACCTTTACTTAGAACACCCATCCAAGCTGTTTATCATGATGCATTTGTCTGACGCTTTTATCCACGACTATTTACATTTTTATCTTTTTATACAACTAAGCATTTTACTGGTGCAATTTGAGCACACAAGGATACAACAGCTGTGGTCCAGCAAGATTTGAACCCAAAGGTCCAGCTCCCTGATCAGGGCTTCACACTCCTGCCCCAGAGCCGGTGTCTCTCCCAAAGAGGACTGAAACCCACGATCGCCCAGTTTCAAGTCCAGAGCCTAAGCTAAGCTCATTTCTGAAATACTATGTAACTATGTTGTGTTATAGGCCCAGTTCTTTTCGTATTTATGCAGTAAAGGCAAGGAGTTCTGGTTCTGGCCGTTTGCAAACACATCAATTCAGCCAAATGTGCATGTATGCATGTAATGAATGAAAGGGAGTCCATCTATCTAATTGTTATGTAGAATAGCTGAGGCATGATTTTGTTCTCAGTGTTTCATGCCTCTCCCCTGCTCAAGCTCTCTATATCTGGTGCATAATAGACCACATTCAGAGACTGTCAGCTAAAGAAGCTACTTTGCAAGGACTGTTGCTATGCGAGTAGGTAAATAAATAAAGTACTGCAATGCCAGTAGTGATGTACATGAAGACTCACAGGCAGATTCATGCACAGTTGCAGAGCCAAGGTTTAAGAGGACAATTGTTACTTCCCTGTGACTCATCAGCTGATTTTCCTGTTCAGCACATTTGTGACACTTTATTTTCTCTTATGAATTTCAACCCTGGGCTTTAATCCTCAAACAAAGAGACCTTCCAATATTTTTGTCTTAACTTTAAGTGCTTATAAACGTCGTGTAGGATGGCCATGGACTCTTGGACTAAATATTAAATAAGGATTCATAAGCAAGATTCACATTTGTATTATGGTTCCACATATTGTACATGAATTTTCTACGAAACAGGTATTATGGAAGACTTTTTATTCAATTTCAAAATGAATATTTAGGGCAGCACGGTGGCGCAGTGGTTAGCGTTGTTCTCTTGCATCTTTGGGACCCTGACTTAAATTCTGGACCTGGCATGCTCTCTGTAGGGAATCTGTATGTTCATCCCAGTGGTCCAGTTCCCAGTGCTCTCACCATCCAAAGACATACTGGTAGGTCAATTGGTTTCTGGGTAAAACCGGCCCTGGTGTGGGTGTGTGTGCCCTGCTTTGCACCCATTGCTTGCAGGGATAAGCTCCAGCTCCCCTGCCACCCTGAATCAGATGAAGCAGTTATTAAAGGGATGGGAGGATAAAAATCTACGGAAACATTTCACTAATAAAAATGCTGCTTGCACGCCACACATTTCACACAACCTGACAGTGTTCCAGGGATAGATTCTGCTGAAATACCACCTTCTGTTTGCAATGTTTTTATCTGTCATGAGCTCTTCTATATGAAGACGTCAAAAAATGCCTTAGGGCACAACCATACCACTTCCTTTCCCGCTGGGGCATGTAGAAAATGAACAGTGATCGTGCAGATTACAGACTGGCTGTATGAAACTGATCCTAACCAGGTGCAATGCAGTTTTCTCCTCCCTGAAACAGGGCAGCAGGGATCTCAGTAGTGTGTAGTTAGAAAAGTTGATTGACAGAATCAGCAGGAACCTTCAGGATCAAAGCTCCCAAATCCCAGCAGCCAAATCCCACAAGACAAATTTGCAGGATTTAGGAATTGTGGACTTGCATTCTTGGAAAGGCTGGACTAAAGACCAGAACTATAGCTTACAAATGTTGAGACCCTTTAAGTTGAGCAGGGAAGGACAGTAGCCAGTTTGTTCATGAACTGATCTCAGAGCCTATCAAATTAATGTCAATTCATGCAATCTGCACTGTAGAGCTAGTAATAGAGTTTGGGATATGAAGGCTTAGGGTGAGAATATCTTTGCTTAAGGCTACATTTGGGGTTGGAGTTAAAGGTGTAAGGATGTTTGAGTCCAGAGACATGCCAGGGGAGTTCTTAAGCAAACCAATGGATGTTGGAGATTAACACTAAACAGCTGTTGCTCAGTCCCATTAAAGTCTCAGCAGTATGACCAGGCACTATATAAGTTATTCACAATCCCTCTCTTCATTTACAATCACCTTGTTTCCAGCCCATGATGAAACCCTGGCTAAGAATATTCAATAAAAAAACAAAGCCAGCATAAGACTAGGTCAGAAGCTTTTGTTTTTTTTGGTTCACGGTACTGTACTTTTCCCTGGTCTGTAACTCACACCCTCTATCATTAATGGGCGTGATGATCTTGTGTTTGCCAGTAGCGTATATATAGCCTGAAAGTGTGTTGCCAAGGGTATTGTACAAAACAGTTCTCTCCCTGAAGACGTCAATGGTTCTTTACAGTAGCCTGTTTCAGGAAAGAAAGAGCTCCCAACTTTAAAAACATTTTTTCATATGTGGAGCATTCTCTCTCCAGAACTACATAAGTGGTAAGTTACTCAAATCTCTCTATTCTTCACCTCTAACACTGCGTCTTCCTGAAACACCATGTAACAAATATTGATTGACGTATTTCCTTACACTAAAGCAGGGTACAGTCATGAAACAGAAGTGTAATCTCTTACAATTAAATCACACTACAAGGAGCAAGAGAAAATGTTGCTGCAAAACCTGCTTTAACATACACATGGGTGCCTAATTTGTCATTGATACTGAGCCCATTACAGAAGGAAAGGTTTGCTCGATTGACTTTGGTTCCTTTAAAATTGCTTTTGAAAAAAAGTGCCCCATCAAATTTCACAGTAGAGAGTTTGCACAGTGCCGTGCGATGTGAAGTGGTTCTTTGCGCTTTTAAAAAAATGACTTTCTGCCTTTCACTTTCAGTTTCCACTGTTCTGATAAATGTCTTCAAGTGGAGTTGCAGGCAGCTCTGAAAATGGGGGGTTGCCGGCTGAAATTGAATGGTTAACTAGGTCTGGGTCCCAAGCCCTAGAGAAAGACGACCGTGACCAAGCCTTGGCCCTCTTTAAGAAGGCCTTCCTCTTGTCCAACACTCTGCCTGAAGGCCAAATGCAAAGGACTTGTCTCTTCAACCTGGGTGCTGCCTACACTGCCGCAGGCAGGGCTCAGAAAGGCCTGAAGTGCTTTGTGAAGTGCAGACTACAGGAGCCGGAGCAGAGAGATGCCGACCTGCACTTCAACATCGCCATTGCTTATGACGAGCTTAAGGAATACGCCAAGGCTGTCCGGTTCTATCGGAAAGCAGTGGGCGGCTACGCTCCAGGGCAAGCGAACAGCATGGGTGATGCCCTGATAAAACTGGCTTACTGCTGCGTGAGTCTGGGAGATGCCACCTCTGCTGCTGAGTCGTTCAGTTGGGCTGGGCAATCCTACCAGCACGCCGGAAGGAGGGAGGACGCCGCCATGGCGTTGAGAGAATCAGCCAATTACATGATCCGGAGCGGCGGGGTCTCCGAAGAGCAGGTGCTGGGGGTGCTGCAGGAGTGTCTACAGACGAGCAGGGGAATCACAAATCCCAGTCTGAAAGGTATAGTACCTTCACCACCGGGGGTCCCTAATGCTGGTCCTGGGAGGGCGGTTGATCCACAGGGTTTCTAGGTCTCTTTAAAGCATCATGTGATGCAAAGCAGGGAGAAGATACTACTCACTGAATTTAGCCACTATGAGCCGATTCAGGGTGTGAATCCACGCAGCTGGACTGAAAACCTGTAGACACAAAGGCTGTCCAGGACCAGCACTGGGGACCACTGCCCTTCTCCATCACTTGGAAATCTTTATTTAGCCTCACCAGAAATTGGAAAACTACTCCTTCTAGACTACCAGCTGTGTGTTTCCTGCTGTAGGATCCACCACACTTGACCTTTGATGTTTTAAAACAAACATTGCAGTGCATTGCATGATTTTTTTTTGTCAGCTGTCTTGTACACCCTATGAGGCTATATTCACAACTAGTCATAACATAACCTTTACATCCGTCCGTTTTCTAAACACATCTTGCAATTCAGGGTCGTGGGAAACGATCTTGGAAAAGCCACAGGCGCAAGGCTGGGTACACCCTAGCTGGGACACCAGCCCACTGCAGGACACACACACTCACACCAGGGCCAATTCTCCTACAAGGTTTTGGACTGAAGGAAGAGACCAGGGCACCTAGAGAAACCCACAAAAACATGGGGACAACTTACAGTACAAGCTCCACACAGACAGCACCCCAAGTCCAGAACAGGACTCAGGGACCCAGCACTGTGAGGCAGCAATGCTAACAGCTGTGCCACCATACCGCCTATAGACCTTACATGTTAAGTACAGTATATTACACAAGACCAGAAACAGAACAGAAATTATTTGTGTTACTGCAGTATTACATTATTTACAACACTGTTTCACAGTTGTGTACTGCAGTATTTTGTCCCTTGTTCTCACTATGCAGTGTTACAAATCTGCACCTCAGACTCGGAGAAACGGAACTCTTTGGGGTGGAATGGAAAGTTGTGCTGTATTTACCCCTGTGCTTGTTTTGCCCGGTCCTGACCGTGCGCAGACGTGAGCGGAGCATGGAAACCCCTGTCACTTGCCCCTGTGCCCCCCCCAGGAAAGCTGCTTAACGACGTGGGTCTGCACTACGCTGAGCTGAAGAGCTTCCACGCGGCGGGACAGTGCTTCTCTGAGGCCCTGGCCTGCTGCTCCGGACAGAACTTCAGCATCAGAAGGAGAGCCGTGCTGCTCCAGAACATGGGGGCCATCCACAACGCCCTGCAGCGATATGCCGAGTCTTTGACATACCACACCGAATCCGCAGAAATGTACGGTACGAGTACGTCGTCAGGCTGGCTGCTGGGTTTGTTCGGGAGTCACTTTGTCCTGAAAGACACCAAGAGTATCAGCAGGGCACCCTTGCAATGCTTAAGTCCAGTCTTAACAGGAACTGTAACTCCACCCCAAGTTTAAAACCGAATCCTTAAACACTTTTACCACTGTTTACCATCAGGCACTCCTGGAAAACTCCGGAACTGCAAAAGACTGATGACCTGCATATGTAACCACAGCCTCGTTTTCACTGGCTCAAAAACATTTTTTAAATAAAGATCTGCTATTGTGCAATTGTGTATTGGGCTTTCAATGAAAACTATAGTTTTTTTTTAAAATAAAAACTGGCCATTGTGCAAATCTTTATTTAACCTTCTTTCTTATGCTCCTTTTTATGGAACAGCTTAGTCACAAAGATGTCTGGAAATGTGCTCATTTCCAGCACATGAAGTTAAACAATGAATGCGATTCCAAAACAGGTCCTGATTTTCAAAGCCACCGTTTCAAACGGATCATCTGTGTGGACAAAGTATGGCTCAAACGTAAGAAGAGAATGTCTCTTGGGGATTTCAAGACAATTTCAATGAAAAGTTGAAGTTCTGGATAGAACGTCATGTAAATCTGTCGACATTGCGCGTTTGCAGGTTCCCTGGTGGAGAGGAAGGGACAGGGAGAGTCTTTGTGCAACCTGGCCTATGCTTACAGCCAAATGAAGAATTACCAAGCAGCAGCTCTACATTACCAAGAGGCCCTGCAAGCCTTCGCTGACATAGGTAAGGTCCTGGCCCATGCTGCCTTGAAGAATTCTGGGAAAAACATCATTTCGCATAAAGAGTCAATAGCTCACAGTAAAGCAGTTCTAGTTTTCTTATTAACCCAAGTCGAAAGACACCCCAATACTCTTTGAACATGTGGTTTGCTTCTTTCAATATGGTCTTGCCACATCTGTTTCTCCAGAATGTCTGATTTAATGTACATTCATCTAAGGACTCTGACACGGCCTTTCATTATTTTATACAAAATGTTTGTGCATCAGGTAGGCCACTCTTTTTACAAGACCTGTTCTTTTAGCTATAAACCCACATATACATTTATATTACTAACAATGTAAATTCATACTTACTTTCCAGTGTGATAAATTCCTACAGTCCTACAGTTGTTAAGGCTGTTAGAGAGTGGGAGAATGTGGGGTGCAAGGGTGTGTATTGTATTACTATGGGGACCTGCCCCCACAAAGATTTCAACTCCTGACAGACAACGTGGGTGCGGTCAGGATGAAAAAGTCTGTCTATTAAAGCAAACTGCACCTTGTTTTAAAGAAAATAAGAAGTGGCAGAAATGTTTGTTTCCTGTGGAGGAAAGAATAGGAAATAAAAATAAAAATGGACTAGGAGTCAGTGAGAAGATAGGAATAGAAATTGTCATGAATTTGTATTGTTTGTGCTCTTCCAAGTTATACCATAATGTCCCATTGTTATATTGTAATGGATTTGTACATGTGGTTGTAGCATACAGCATATAACAAACGTGATAGAATTCAGAAGAGGATGAAAGATGCAACTCACAACTGGCAGCCCACCGAAGCTCAGCAGGTGTGAGCCTGGTCAGTACCTGGATGGGAGACATCCTAGGAAAAACTAAGGTTGCTGCTGGAAGAGGTGTTAGTGGGTCCAGCAGGGGGCGCTCACCCTGTGGTCCATGTGGGTCCTAATGCCCCAGTGTAGTGACGGGGACACTATACTGTAAAAAGGCACTGTCCTTCAGATGAAACAGGATTGCCACACCCTCGGACCTCGGTGTTCAGATGAAACCGAGGTCCTGACTCTCTGTGGTCATTAAAAATCCCAGGGTGTTTCTCGAAAAGAGGAGGAGTGTAACAGCGGCATCCTGGCCAAATTTTCCATTGGCCCTTACCAATCATGGCCTCCTAATAATCCCCATCTATGAACTGGCTTCATTACTCCGCTCTCCTCCCCACTGAGAGCTGATGTGTGGTGAGCGTTCTGGCGCACTATGGCTGCTGTTGCATCATCCAGGTGGGGCTGCACACTGGTGGAGGGGAGTCCCCATTACCTGTAAAGTACTTTGAGTGGAGTGTCCAGCACAGCTCTATATAAATGTAAGCAATTATTATTATTAATTATTAAAGATAGCCAATAAGTTAACACCCAGTATTGTGTACTGTGTATTAGAGATGAGTGCTAAAGTTTAGGGGCAGTACACAACACAGATGTCACTAGGTGATACAGGTGCCCTGTGGTGAACACTTCTGTTGCCCATAGGAACATGTTGTGTAATAGGTCTTATTAATTTGTGCGTATATGTCATATGTTTTATTTCTCCAAATAGTACAGTTTTCACTGTATTATACATATGTGAATAGACAAGTTAATTTGATAAGCACGCTGTGTTATTTGTACATTAGGATAGAATCTACAATATTTAAAAACATATTTCAGTCTCAACTGTGTAAAAAGAAGCATTTCAAAGAGATGATGATCAATTATTTTAGTCATCAGTAAGTTACTTTGGAATAATTACATTGGCATAGGAAATAAAGATGGAACTGAATCATGCAGATATTTTATTTTTATTTAAATGAATAGTGGATGAAGTTGGCATCTCTGTTGCCAGCTAAGCCTCCAGAATATACACACTGTAAGCAGAACAGCTTAATTTAATCTGATGGCTCTGTTTCCTGACGTTTGGTACCTCAGGGAGAAAATCTGCATTTTAATGAATGTCTAAATTTATGATACTATTTTCAATCATAGCACTATATTTCAAAAACCTTAAAGTTCATTTGGCATACAGAAATCTAGACTTTCTTGGGTTTTTGTATTTCCTCTTCTTTTCCCTCTGATTTTGAAGGGGCCATAGCAGTTTCCGATCATTTTCAATACATACAGTATAATAAATACCATAAAGAAAATGCAGACAGCGAAACTACACGGGCTGGTTTAGAAAACCCCACTGCACCTTATTAAAAAGAAGCAAGTAAGTGTGGGTTTTTCTGGTGCATTATTTCCCCAAGGTCTAGTCGCGTAATAACCAGGCCTTTGCAACGAAACATAGCCCAGCTTGACAGGTACTAATCAGTGTCTTTTGGTACTACATGTCATTTAAAAAAAGCTTCACAGCCTGCCAATCAAGCAACTAGACGTGAAAGCTGTTATTTGAAGGAAATTCATTCAGTATAGTTACATAAATCTGCTGTTCAATAATTCCTATTGATCTTTCTTCAAATTAAACGGGGCCTGCTTGGAGATGCATTGATTCTGACTCCTGCTTGCAGAATAAATTTCACAAGTGTAGAAAAGTGCTAAAAGTGTGATCCCAGAAACGAGGGCAACTAGGATTTTTATATGGACATATCTGTTGATGTTTTTCAATGAGAAGAGCATACATCCCCAACATGATGCCCAACATTGCCCATCAGCACCTTTTTTTGACTGCACTCAGAATGCTTCCACCTCAGCTAAATGGATCCCATTCATATTTCAGTGGCACTCACTGCATGTGCACTGCAATGGGCGCAAGGCAGGATACACCCTGGAAGGGACACCAGTCCATCATGGGACACGCAGACACAGACACGCACACACTCACATCAGGGCCAGCTTCCCCAGCAGCCTACCCTACCAGTACGTCTTTGAACTGAGGGAGGAAACCCACACAAACACAGGGAGAGCACAGAGCTCCAGCAACGCAAGGCAGCGATGCTAACCACAGCGCCACAGTATCGCCCGAGCCTGGAAATGATTGAACATAAAGCTTTGCTGTGATTTGAAATGAGAGGCTGCCCAGCTGTGTCTGGTGCCTTGTTGTGTCATGCAGTATTAATACTGTTTGTCATGTGTTAGGCGACCTACGCGGGCAGTGGCAGGTGTGTGAGGGCCTGGGAGCTACACACTTCTGCCTTGGCAACGCAGATCAGGCCTTATCTTACTACAAACAAGCGCTGGTTCTGTTTGGAGAGTCAAAGGTACACTCTGTTTGCTCTTCATATTTACCCTGAGTTTGGGTTGCAGATTAAAGGAGTGTTTTGTCATTCTTCTCCGCCTGCTGTCTGAGGACCCCCACTCGGTGTCCACGCATGTTACCCTGGTGTGGGAAAGACCCGCAGCCCGCCAGCACGAGTCTCTCGCTGTGGTCCCCTGGAGAGCCTCAGGCTGTCTGGATGTCTCCTCACTGCAGAATTAAAAAGGAGCAGAAACTGATCAGTGTTTCAGTGTGTCGTTTTTTCATAACGATACATGGGGTCCCTTCATAAATTTTTTTTACAAACTTTAAAATCTTTGTTCATCAGGAAAAAAACAGCAGTAATATATTTCTTTCTGAATACTTAATTTGATGATTTTTTTTGTGCGGTGTGTTTTCTATAGAAATGATTAATCGGAGATAGCAAATACTTTTGGAAGCATTTAGAACAAACAAGAAATGCTAAAAAGCTCTTAAGTGGATGTCTGGTTTATCTGAGTAAAGCAGTGTGGAATCCCAAAGAAGATTACATTTAGAACATACAGTAGGTAACTGTACTACCAATTTAAGATATCAGAAATAAATCTCAGAGATGTCATTTTACTCTGCTGTTTAAGAGACACACTTTTCCAGCTGAAGTGAAATTGAAACAGAACCTCTATCTCAAACTGTTATTAAAGATTTAGCAGTTTTTTCCCTGTTTTTAATGGCGTACTTGCCTACTGGAGAACATTTATTTTCACTTTGTCTCTGACTATTGTTTCATCTGTTTCTCAGCTGGAGTCTTAACTCAGCAATTCACTTGCTCTCTAAAGTGAAGTTAGTTGGCATAGCAACAGCGGGGAAAAAGTGTTTTTATGCATAGAAACAGTGTAAAGGCTAAGATCTAAATGTCTGTATTTTTCATCTTCAGAGACTTATGCAAAAATCCCTCTGTGTTCCACTGTAATACAGAGCTGCTAGCATATAATACTTCTGAGTAGGTTTATAAAAAGACTGAAATGAAGATGAGAAGGATAGCTCACCTGGATGATGCTCAGGGTTGTAGTCTGTAAGTCCCATTGGAGATTGCAGAGCTCATAGATCAGTGCCCAGAAGACACTGGGAGGGATGAATACCTTCATTGCCTGTAATTCCAGGGCGCGGAAGGTCTTAATCATGATCAATGCCTTTTTCTTCAGCGTCGTAGCTAAAACTGTCTGGTTTACATGTTGGTTTAGGAGGCATCGGACGTCCCCAAGGAGAGGATCTGGAGGAAACTGAAGGACGTGCTGGACAGCGTGGGGGCTCTGCCAGAGTCGGAATCAAGGCGGCAGGCCCTCTCCACGTGCGCACAGTCTGTATGGGTCTTAACTGCATTACCTCAGTGCAATGCTCAGGCCTGTCACACACGCAAGACCGTGGTGGCCAGCAGGAAATGAAACTGGGAGGCTTCACAGATCCCTAGGATGTCATATGTAAATGCTAACATTAACAAGTTATCATATTTGCATCTCCTGCCCCAAGGAACTTATTGATGTACAATATGTAACGTCACAGACTGGGCCTTTATAATTCAACTACCAGTAACAGGGGTTTCTACCACTAAGATCCTCTCACATCTCCCAAGGATCGCAACCAAGTGTTTTGTGAGTTGATGTCTCCAAGATCAAATTATTATGACATATAGCTGTTGTAGAACCGCACTTTCATGTTTCTCTAACTATATCCACTTTGCAATTGGATTATAATCTAAATATGTCCACCCCTTTCAGAATTGACGAACACTGGAAATAAAATCAATTTGAGACATGAAATAGACCTACTGACCTTGTTCATTTTTACCCCCGTTTTTTTCAGTCTCTGTCAACAAAGTTTGGAGAAGACAGCCTGAGGTTTTCTGTCCCCAAACAACACTGTGAAAGACCTGGGTCTGAACTCAGAATGGTATGTCCTGAAAAATGAAATGAGCTGATTTTAGGAACTAAACCCACAGAAAGTCATTAACTATAATACACCCTCAGCAGTTTTCATTCATTTCTACTAGAATGATTCCCTCTCAGAGTGAGAGCTAAAATTCTTTCCTGCCCAACTGTGTATTAAAAACCAATCTTTTATAGTGATTCCAAATTGAATACCCCCCATTATAGATTTTCTATTTTCTATTTCCTATTTCTATTTCACAAATAAAAATCAAACTGAGCAATATGAGAGTATATTCCACTATGAAAATAATATTAGTAGCCCAAATAGGGAGCTGGAAAGAAATGAGCACAGTTAATGTCACACTGAAAAGTAAAAATCTCACAGCCAATGAGTTTCCACAGCTCCAGCCTTAAGTTGTTTCTATTTGTCAAAATAATATTCAAGATACCGTACAATACTAATATGTTTTTTGTGCCCTAATTTTAAAATATGGTCAATTCATCAACGATTGTGTGTCTCCTGATATAGAAGTCACATTCTGCTCTATAGACATAGCTGTAGAAAAACAGCACCAGCTTTTACCAAGAAATATTTACAAAATGCACTGCAGTCTGATTAATTAGGTATAATCTTTAATCCTTTCAAGGCTGTTTCAGGGCCTCCCTCTTTGCTTGTATTTAAACTGCTGGTTAGAAAATATTATTTCTTTGCTCTCAGTGCGCAGGAACTACACAGTAGTTGTAAGAGAGGTTACTTTATGCTGCAGCTTCCAGATTTCTGTCAGTTCTATGCTCTGGTTACAAAAAATTCCCAGAAATGCAGAGCTGTTCTATCGTTTTGATGAAGTTACCGGTCAATGTTATGTTTTCCAGGGGATGCTCCAATGAGGAATTTCAACGAGCGGAAGTTGGAAAGAAAAGGCTGTTTCTTCCACCGATTTAGTGAAACTGTAAAAACTTTCTCAGTGGGTTTTTAGTCACATACATCACAGAGAGACATAAACAATATATTATGTCCAGATATGCACTCTGCTTTGATAAAAACAAAGCAGGAAGGCTTTTGCAGCATTACAATTAAAAATCTAATATGTCCATAAATTCAAAACTATGCCTTCTTTTATTTCATTTACAGTAACAAGAATACAAAATTTGATAGAAAAACAATGCTTTCAAACGAAGAGTGAGTCTGCCTAAATAAATTACATTTTAATGAGTCATATCTAATTTTTCCCGCTGTAAAAAGAACAGAATGACTAATTGCATGAAACATTCCAAAATAATGTAAGTTATGTTCTAAGTCATCTCAGAAATATACATGTGAATAAATACTCAAGCTACCAGACCCATCTGTAAAGAATCCTATTCATGCCCTGTGTACTCCGTCAAAGCCTGGAGAAAACTCACACTTTCTTAGACACGGGCAGGGATTCAACTGAGAGATAAGACTTTATTGATCCCGAAGGGAAATTGATTAAGTTTCTGGTTTGTCATTTTTTGCCTCCCCTCATTGCATTTCTCACCAGAGGACCAATAAAAAGATTATAAATAAGAAGAACCATTTTGAGTCACCTAATGTGTTTGGTTGCTAGTTGCTTGTTGAGCTGAGGGTATCATCCAGCCTTCTTGAAAGAAGCCAGGGTATCAGTTTTGATAACATGGCTGGGGTGCTTGTTCCAGACTCCCACCACCCTTTGTGTAAAGATATGCCTTCTATTGTATTTTAAAAGCACTGTCCTATAGTTTTCTGTGTCCTCTGGCTTGTGTTTCACTATTGATCCCAAACATACTGTATCCATTATGGGGGCCATGGAGAAGCAATATTATTTTGTTCAAATGTGACCACATTTCTATGGTATATAATCTATGTCTAATTTATGTCTTGATTTAACTTTCACTATTTTAATTTTATATTCTCACATTTGGTTTTTATTCCTTGCCCACATTAATGCTTGAAGATGGAAACGATGAGTTGACATCTCAAGTGTTTTTCATAAGTTACTTCCCCATCTGATATCTACAGCCTCATTTTACCACATGCATGGAACACTTTGCAGCTGTCAACATTCAATGTTATCAGCCAGGCATTTCTCCAAAATCAGTCTGTCAGTTTCTAATAGCAAACCACATCTTTTCAACACACTTTTTGACATCAATATTTCAAACTAATGTCGCCCTCTGAGGATTGCATACTTCGGTATTCCATGCAAATTCCTAGAACATTGACGCCGGAAACCCGTACTGTAACATGCTGAATATTCACATATACTGACAGGTAACAAGCTCTAAACCTCATGAGGTTTCTGAAACAGTCTATCAAGTCTCCACCCGATCTGTCATTTAGTGAGGCTTCTTGAAATCATCCAGGTGGGTGCTGCTCTTCAATGGTGGATTAATTTTCCTCTTTATTCAAAGGTTATCAATATATGCTATACAAATGCAAGGAGTTATTAGTTTTCTAACTACAGTAGCATTACTGAAAAAGAACGCAGATTTTCCTAATCTTTCTTTCATTCAAAAAGTGAAAGGGCCACTGAGCAACATCTCTGTATGCTCTTGTCTATGCTGCTGCTTTTATGCACAACATGCTTCTGGCTCTTTTATTCAGCAGACTGCTGGGATGTGAAACGGTTGGACTGTCTGTGATATGTACTGTCTGAGATACTGAGACCAGGACAGAGAGAAGTAGTGGTGCTGGGGATGGGGGAGGGGGTGTTCCCAGATTCAAGGAGATTTGGGATACCAGCTTCAGCCAGAGAGAAGGACAGAAAGGCATATCTGACTCCGCAGGTGAGGGAGTGAATGTTCTGTGTGACAGGACTGGTCTTGCCGAAGGGTCACATGCACAATACAGAGGTCAAAGATAAGTCACGCACTCTGCCCTGGACTGCAGGCCATCCTTTAGGCATGTAGAATCCATAGAAAAAGACCAGAAGGCTTTACACAGAAGGAGACTGGTAGTGACTCGGCACTGCACAATACAACATCAACACACTGGAAACTAGTAGTGACGGAACTTGGATGGGCATAAAAACAGAGCTAATAAAATCAATGAAATTATTTAATTATATTGTATATACTAATTTCTGATGAAAACAGATGCTGAAAAACTACAGTTCCTCACAGCCTTTAAGAAGTGCCGTACATAAGCACTGATGCATTAAATCTCTCCATACCATAATGTATACCAACGACATCTTACTTATTACTATATATTGTATGGGTATACAGCCCAATATCATCACGCATGAAAGATAGATAAACTCTTTCAAACAAGTGAATAAATATATGAACTGATGCAAGGACACAAATCATAGAGACTCACACTGCATGCAATGATACAGCTAACAGGTCTTTTCTGATGTTTTTTTTTTAATTAATAGATGTTCTGCCACACACTGAGATCACACAGCGCAAACCACGACTCACTGAGGATCAAAAGCAGACATTACGCTGGTGAGCCTGACAAAGCATCTGCTTGTTTTTATATTATTTGCACAGCTTGACGAAATGCTGAGGCAATATCTGTCAAATGTGCCTTCTCTCTCGCCCCCGCCTCTCTCGCTCTCTCTGTCCTTTCGCAATGCGGTCCGACGGGGGCCAGGGCCAATCAGCTTGAAATCAGCAGAATTTCGCCAGGCAGCCCTCGACCTTCATCCCGGCTTCAAACAGACCCCCCGGCTCGGGCTGCAGCACTGCGACACTGGCCACCGGGCTGCCTCCTGTTCCCAGCAAGGTACAGCCCTCCCCAGAACCACAGCGCCAGGCCCAACAGAACCACACGGGTACCAGCAAAGAGTGATCGCTGCCTTTCCGCTCAGGCAAGCGGTCAGGTGACGCTGCTGCTCATTTCTCGTATCTTTCAACAGCTTTTCAATAGGATCCCTGAGCCGCCGGTGCGAGACATGGCTGTTCTCAAAGTCCTGGTCTCCTTACTCTTCATTTACCACTTGAGTGGTGGAAAGCGGCTGAGAGGAGGCAGTTCAGGTGAGTACATGACATCAGAGGCCGCTGGGGGTGTCGCAATGTGTTCTAGAGAAATACTGCTGTGCAGTCGTGGTTGGGTTATTTAACATCCGGAAATCTAGAACAATTAAAAAGAATCAGTAGCAATCGGTAAGGAATTCTACTCCTAGGTCTCCCTCAGATTCATTTCTAAAACGTTTTGGAGTGTTTTGATTAGAAGATGAACACGGCTCATAATTACCAGGGTGGCACAGAAGTGATTTCATTGTTTTCTATGCTAAATGTCATTTGGATGACTGTACTTCTAATCAAAACATGGGTTTCAGTTAGGAATTTGTGCTTGGAACTTCTGAAGTGTCAAATGGCTGATTAGTCCAGGATAGGGGACTTGGAAAAGAAAATATTAGTGTGAGTATCAGGACATACAGTATGTCAGAACCGACCTTCTGTCACTAGCAGGCAGTTTACAAAATAAATAGAATAAAGGTGGCATTTTAGGTTTCGAAAGCATGCTCATTTCAAAGCAAATTAGATATTTTTCATATATTGTGAGCTGTGACTGAGAGACAAAATTGAGAATGGAGGCACTCAAAAGCGATCCCCATGTAAGCCTGCCCTGTAGTGGCACGCAGCATTCAGACATCCTGTGAAAGCCACTCGTCAGACTCAGACAGGAGTGGACAGAGTGGTCAACAGCACAGGGCGTCTGGCCGGCCAGGGAGCAGCTACTCTCAAGAGGAAAGGTTTAGAAAAGGTTCATACCTGCTCCTGGCTGGCTCTCTGCCATCATCTTCACCATGCCTGCCTTCTTGCTCTTCCTCTTTTCAGTTTTTGCTTTTTGAGGCTGTGCCAGTTACTGTACCTTAATTCAAATCAACATTTCCATCTTTAAGAAGCCTGTCCAAACAATGCACTATGGGAATCCAAAGTGCAACGAGGCTGGAGAAACAGTTTGTTCTTGGAATTGTTCAGTGAACAACAAGAAGGATATACTGGGTTTTGGGAAATGTGGACAGCACTCGGATTCCCAGACTGAGAAGTGAGCCAGGGCACTGGGTTCAAACTGACGAGGATGAGAATTAACCTTTTACCTACTGGCCTTGCGAAGCGCCCCAGTGATTCAGGCACTGTCTGGATTCGACAGTTTCATAAAGCTCATTGCAGCATGCTCTCCATCACTCACCCTACCAAGATCGTCACCCCTGCAGTAACAGCAAAGCCTGGCTGCAGGTTTCTTCTTCTAATTCTTGGAGCAGTCCGAACTACAATCTTTTATTTTTTTACTTATTATGGACTTTCTGGCCTAATGCGTGGGTAGTTATCTTTAACCACAAAGAAAATATTTGAATTTGATGGGGGGCCGTGATATTCACATCTGGACAGTATTAACAATTGAGGTATCCCATCCCTATTTGTGGTATGTTGGGGCCAAGGTTAGAGCTAAGCTCCAGTCAAATTCAATTCATTCTTGTATAGTGCCCTTTACTAGAAGTCAACACAGAAGGCTTTCACAGTAATTTACAGAGTTATACAATAAATCAAAAGAATATTAGTGTAAGGAGATGGAAATTAGTTTAGTGTATCATAGTGGAACACTGTATCCATCAGGAATGGAGAAAAGGAGACCCAAAAACTCCAGAAGAGGAAAAATGAATATATAGGGGCCCAGTATTTAAATGACATATTTCACATACTGTATAGTGGGAGACACAGTGGCGGAGTTTTTAGCATTGCTGCCTCTAGGCTTCAGGGCTCTGTGTTCAATTCCTGGGGTGCTATCTGTGTGGAGTTTGGCATGCATATGTATTGAAAGTATAAATCAAGGTAACACTCATTCAAATGTGTATGATATACTGTATATTGTGCGTTCGCTTACTGTACATGGAAAGATTTCACCTTTATATCTTTATATCCACTTATTTTTTGTCAGTGTGTTCCAGAATCATTTCCAGGGGTGGTTGATGTGTCAGGAATGGTATTTCCTCACTGTACAGGCCATCAGCTGGTGATGGCCAACACGTAGGAGATCTGTTATGGCCGTATGCCCTCACACATGGATTGAAAACGTATCCTGTGCTACACAAAGATTAAATATAACTGCCATTCTTTACAGGAGAAACAGAACAACGTGGTTATGTGGTTCCAAATTAATACAGATCACAACTATAGCATCGTTTTTACCTTGGAAAACTCATATAGCGTGCTTGAGAATAACTGTTGACATGCAGGCTCTTGATAATATTCCATACTGCAACTCAGACACCCCAGAAGGACACCAGTCTGCTGGAGCAAAAAAGATGGCTTCCGTCCCCCAGTCCATCTTCCGGATGTACGCGGAAGGGGACTCCATGGAGGACACCTGCAGAGTCCTGCCCCACCAGCCGGAGAGCCTGGAGTCCTGCTCCTTCAACACCTCCCTCCCTGTGGTCATCATCATCCACGGCTGGTCGGTAAGAGAGCTCCCTTCCTCTCGCAGGCTCCCGCTGATCCACGAAAGCCGAGTCCCCCTACCTCAGGCCTGTCTCCTAACGCTCGGCCAAGCTCAGCCAGAGCCCACATGGCCCACTGTTTGGTAATGTGTGACGAGTTTGGACAGCCGGGCAGATCTCCTCTACGGGTCTCTGAATGTCGCTGTTGCCATCGTCGTCACGAACGGTCCTTGCCGTTCCCGGGGCCGTGACCATTCCCTGGATTCCCGGTCTAGGTGGACGGGATGATGGAGCACTGGGTGACGCACCTGGCCAGCGCTCTGAAGTCCGCCGTGAGGAACATCAACGTGCTGATCGCCGACTGGCTCCTGCTGGCGCACCAGCACTACCCCATCGCGGTGCAGAACACGCGCGTGGTGGGCCGTGAGATCGCAGACCTGCTGCAGTGGCTGTGGGTGAGTGTGGCGGCGCGCTTCCCAACACGGAGAGCTTCTTCCAGGGGTGCGCTTGGGAGACGCAGAAAAAGGCGTCTCGGGCAGAACAACCTGAAAGCTTGGATTCCTCGATGGAAAATATTTATCAAGCTCAGGAACGATTGCCTACGATTGGGCTGCTTAACAGCATCTTACGAAGCTGTTTATCATGTGTAAAACCGTTTTTAAAATGACGAATTCTGACCAATGTGATGAGAATTAGATACTAATATATGAACACTCATACATTAGTACAAAAAAACTGTATTTGATCCAACAGAGTTTTCCATGTAATCTGAATACAGAATGAGTAATCAATTTATACAGTCTCAAATGACGACGTAACACTAAGGAACATTTAGCAGCTTCATTTTTTGTGTAATCGAATGCGTTATAATGTCAGCTCATTACATTCTTTCCTTTGTTCTGTATCCAACAAGGATTTGGACTAGGTTTCCAGATATTTACTGTCACTGGATTCCTGGCGTAGTGCTGTGGAGACTGCGAAAGAAAACAAAATAACTCGCATTTTTCACTGCGAGGCATCCTGACCCCGTGCCTTCACCGGGGGAATGCGATATTGACGGCGAACAATCGGGCTTGTGTTGCTTGCAGGAGGCCTACCAGCTCTCTCCGGACCGTGTACACCTGATCGGGTACAGCCTGGGGGCTCACGTTTCGGGATTTGCCGGCAGTTATATCAGCGGCCCCAGCAAGATTGGAAGAATTACAGGTGAACCACTCTGTCGCACAACTGAGTCTTGTGCAACACAGCTGGGCCTGCAGCTTACAGGAGGCGGCCCCACATTCCCGTTGTGTCTAATTATTAATCTCCGGGTGCACTCGCTGCATAATCCCGCCAGGACTAAAGACTCAAGAAGCTTCTTTTAAATGAATCATTCACATGATTTTACACATTATTAGCAGCCATATCACTCTGCAACTCACAACTGGCAACCCACTGAAGCTCAGCAGGTGTGAGCCTGGTCAGTACATGGATAGGAGACCTCCTGGGAAAAGCTAAGGTTGCTGCTGAAAGAGGTGTTACTGGGGCCAGCAGGGGGCACTCACCTTGCGGTCTATGTGGGTCCTAATGCCCCAGTACAGTGATGGGGACACTACACTGCAAATAGGAGCCTTCCTTCGGATGAGATGTAAAACCGAGGTCCTGACTCTCTGTGGTCATTAAAAATCCCAGGGCGTTTCTCGAAAAGAGTAGGGGTGTAACCCCGGCGTCCTGGCCAAATTTACTATTGGTCCTTACCAATCTTGGCCTCTTAATCCCCATCTATGAATTGGCTTCATCACTCTGCTCTCCTCCCTATTGAGAGCTGGTGTGTGGTGAGCGTTCTGGCGCACTGTGGCTGCCATCACATCATCTGTCGCACATTGGTGGTGGTGGAGGGGCTTTAGAATGTTTTTTTTTTTATTCCAGTGACATACATTACCAATAAAACAGGTCCCATGCTGAGGAAGGCTTCTTAAGTTTTCAACTAACTGGCACATCAGAGCAGTTGACTGACTGGAAGTGGAAATAACCCAGAGTAAAAAAGAATAATCTTTAATGGGGCTGTTGCATTCTCTTCCTTACAGAACTCCATTAGAAACCAGCGTGATAGTGGTCTGTGACAAGCAGGGTGCGATATATGCCTGTTCAGGGAATCACAAATCACAAAAGGACAAAAGAATGGCAATTTGTTTGAAAGCGAAGAGTAATGTGAATTACTCTTTGGAATTTATTTGGAGTTAAATAGAAAAAAATCAAGAAAACAAATTTGTTTTAAGAAGACAAAACCTTATTCCAGCCCTGATAGCTTAGTTCTGTTTTACATCTTCCAACTGGATCACTGCCTGATTCCGGAGGAGCCCGTGAAGCACAGGGTGTCCCACAGAAGAGATCAATACTGGCCGCTCATGTTGAACAGTAACTGACTGACCTCTTCCTGGTACTGCTCTGGACTCTTGCCATCAGAACAGGGCTGTGTGCGTGTGGAACAAACTGCCCAGCCACGAGGTTGAACCCGATACCCTGCTTCTTTCAAGAAGCAGCTGGAGGAGGGCCTTGGATCAGCTCAGTAGTAACTACCTAACAGAAGGGCCAAATGGCTTCTCTTGTTTGCAACCTTTCTTGTGTCCTGAAATGGAGCCTTCATTCTCTCCCATTTCCCAGTTTTTGTTGGCAGGGATAATACCTCAGCACACAGGCCCATAGTGCTCCACCTTTTTCCCCCTCTTAATCACACGCTTTCCTTGGTAAATGAAACAGCCTTCCGTCTTGAAGGAATATTTGACACAGTGGAAGTTCAGCACCGAACCAGAAAACAACTAAATCAGAGTTCAAACACCCATTGGCAAAGCCATCTAAAATTCAGAAAACCCTTTTAAAGATTTTGCCTTTCAATTACATCCACTTACCTTCCAATTGTTAATATCTTGCAAATGAGTATTTCATAATGCCCCTCAGCTGCCCTTCTGCAGTGATGAAGAAAGGCGTGGCGTTTTAATGGTGTGTCTGTACCTCTGTCCAGGCCTGGACCCGGCGGGGCCGCTGTTCGAGGGCATGTCTTACACCGACCGACTGTCTCCTGACGACGCCAACTTCGTGGATGCCATTCACACCTTCACCCAGCAGCACATGGGCCTGAGTGTGGGCATCAAACAGCCCGTGGGCCATTACGACTTCTACCCCAACGGGGGCACCTTCCAGCCTGGCTGCCACATCAAGGACTTGTATCTGCACTTGGCGCAGTATGGCCTGTTGGGTACGTGGTGCTGAGAAAGATGGCAAAAGCCCATGTTTGGTCCTGAGGCAGGGTGGTCAAGGCAGCATTTACATGACTGCCCTTCCCTGCCTTTTCACGTCTCACCTGAACCAGGGGCTCGAGGGTCTGAACACTGCAGGCTAAGCCCAAGGTCATGGCTGCAGTTCTGTACAGGTCGCACAGTGAGGGAGCGTTGTGATATGTCTGTATTTAAGAACCCTGCACCAGTCACTGTTAGAGGAAAAAACCTGGATTGTGAATGCAATGCTTTTGTTTTGATTTCCCCTTTTGGTCTGAAAAGGAAGGAGTAATAACTAAAAGGGCTAGTCTTTTGTTTTGTATGAGGGAGCACTGAGCAAGAATTGAATCCTCATTTCAGGGAAGGTAAGCATTCACAGACAGACATGGCTTAGTAGAGACACAAGGTGTCAATGTACAATACTACAACAGCAGGCTTCCTCAGAGCCTGTGAATGAAAATGGATAATGGGAAGATGCAGTCGGCTTGCATGGTTTCAGTCAAGCTTGTTTCTTCCACATGAAAAAGAAAGAATGTGTTAAAGAAAGCAACTGTCACCCTTACATTATAATGAGCTGGATTTTGGTGCCATTGTTACACAAAGAGCCTCAGGGGGACAGTTAATTTGCTGGAAACCAATCACTTCTTTGAAAGACAGATTCAGATCAGATTCCTTGTCGAGAGAAAATGTGTCGGATTTGTGACACAAAAGACAAAAGGCCTATCTGCTAGAAGGATGGCCCAATTCACTGCATGTTAATTTCCTGGACACTTGTGTGTAACTCGAATGTATCTGTTCCCCAGGATTTCAGCAGACAGTGAAATGTGCACACGAGAGGTCGGTCCACCTGTTCATCGACTCCCTGCTCAACGAAGACAAGCAGAGCATGGCCTACCGCTGCCACGACAACAAGTCCTTCAACAAGGGCATCTGTCTGGACTGTCGCAAGAACCGCTGCAACACTCTGGGCTACAACATCAAGAAGGTCCGCACAGGGTCTAGCAAACGGCTGTACCTGAAAACCCGCTCCCACATGCCCTACAAAGGTCTGTATCTTTCTGCACTACCATGATGTGTATTTTACTTTTGCCAGCAGCCATATCGCCCTGCAACTCAAAACTGAGAAGCCAGTGAAGCTCAGCAGCTGTGAGCCTGGTCAGTACCTGCATGGGAGACCTCCTGGGAAAAACTAAGGTTGCTGCTGGAAGAGGTGTTATTGAACCCTGTGACACCCCCTCTATTTGGGTCCTAATGTCCCAGTATAGTGATGGGGACACTTTACTGTAAAAAGGTGCCATCCTTTAGATGAGATGTAAAACCCAGGCCCTGACCCTCTGTGATCATTAAAAATCCGAGGGCGTCTCTCGAAAAGAGTAGGGGTGTTACCCCAGAGTTCTGGCCATATTTTCATTGAACTTTACCAGTCATGGCCCCATCTATGAATTGTCTTCTTTCACTGTTCTCCTCCTCACTGATAGCTGGTGTGTGTTGAGTGTACTGGCGCACTATGGCTGCCGTCACATCATCCAGGTGGGGCTACACACTGGTGTTGGGGGAGGGGAGTCCCCATTACCTGTAAAGCACTTGAGTGGAGTGTCCAGAAAAGTGCTATATAAATGTAAGCAATTATTATTATATAATTCATGACCTTTTTGTTTTTTTAAATGATTATTTCCCAACAAACTTTTCAAACATTAAATACGTTCTTTGGAAAATTGCAATAGACCTCTCCTGGGTATAAAAGCACTGCTTACAGAGACGCAAACAGCAAGAGGAAGGTAAGAAAAACTCTCCCGAGACAGAGAATGATTAACAACTCCTGGTGAGTCCAGGTCAATAAAAGTTTAGAGCTGCTACATAGCTGATACTGAAGCACCTCTCTCAGAATGTGGTCTTTTCTCTCGAACACATGGGATTCAGAGAGAGAACGCTTTTCAGTTATCAACACAGAAGAAAGTGTTTCTGCTTTGTAACATTTTCATCCGTGTAGTGTACTGTTCGTCCATAATAAATTAACATAAGACTCCAGCAAGGATGATGGCTAAACCACACACATCTTATGAAGACCCCAAATGTAAAAGACAAGTGTTGCATCAACGTGTAATTATTCCAGGACACAGTGAAACTAAAATCAATGCTTTTCCTCTCTGACAGTGTACCACTACCAGTTCAAGATTCAGTTCATCAACCAGATTGAGCAGATTGAACCTTCTCTTACAATCTCCCTCACGGGCACTAAAGAGGAAAGTGAGAACCTGCCCATCACTTTGTAAGTAATTTGACTTCAGCTCAATCAAACAGCCTTATGACCCCTTATCTCCTTTCTTAACACTCACAAACACAAGGTTGCACATCATGCACAGCCTCCTGCTCCATGGAAATATCTGCTTATGCTGCAGTTGTGCTCTTAATATCCTGTTTGCACTGATGCCTTATGGGAAATGCCTGACGTACACGGAGGAACACATCTATGATGAGTTTCACCAAATAAAAACAGAACATCAAATACTATCATAATCACTGCTGCGTCAATCATAAAAAAGTGTTCAGTGTGAAAGAACTAATGCATCCAGCCAGCACAGCAATAATCAGCTCTATAGATCTAAAATCCTCAGTCTCTTGGGTTTTTACATAGACGTGTATTGATTACTTCAGTCCTCTCTACACCCAGTGGTAAGTGTTATATTTTGACATTTCATTCGTCCTTGTGAAAGCCTGGGTCAGGACACCCGGTCAATGGGAAACTGCCCACACCTGCGGGCTCAGCCTCTCCTGACAACACTGAGTCGATAAAGAGCCACTGGGCAGACTCCATCAGGCCAAGCCGGCTTCCCGATCATTGAGAATCATTCTGACACGAGGCGCTAACTGCCACTCTGTAATATCAGTGCAGTCGGAGCTGAGAGGCTGGAGGCACTTCTTTACTAAAACCGTGGTGGATTCAGGCAGAGGCAGCACACTGCCAAGTCATCCTGTGCATGCTGAGTCACCACAGGGAATTCAAGAAGGGTCTGGATCTTGGATATTGAAGCTGCTGACAGCAGTCCTGTACAGCATCCACACGTAATAACCTGTTAATCATATGCCAACTTACTCAGAAACAAGACACTGCCAGAAAATGTACCTCCCATTTTATTCCTCAGTATACTGCGATTGCATCTATTTTTTAAAAGGATCACAGCTGACAGGGCTGTGCTCAAATAAAGGGGCTTGTTTAAGGCATGTCATGTGACACAAAGATCATCAGAGTTCGCCTCTTTTGTAAACCTTAAGGGTTTGTGTGCACATGGCCCAATGGGATATGTGTTAATCCCCGATAGGTTTGCATCTGATTCTTCACTGTTATTGGAAGATCAGATACTTTGCATAAGGAGTCAAACACGACGCAGCACACTCGCGCTAAACAAGTTCGGTCTGTGCCTCTGCCCCAAGACACAGCACAGTCCCACACAGTGAAACAGCGGGGAAGAGCCAGCTAACGCCAGCGCCACTCTCTTTCCTCTGCAGTGTCGAGGAGATAACTGGCAACAAGACCTACACTTTCCTCATCACTCTGGACACAGACATCGGGGAGCTGATGGTGCTCAGGTTTAAGTGGGAAGGCAATGCAGTGTGGGCCCACATCTGGAACAAGATGAGGACCATCATGCCCTGGAGGAAAGGGGCCAAGGGGCCAGAACTCACTGTGGGCAACATCCGGGTCAAGGCTGGAGAGACACAGCAGAAGTAGGTTTGCAGGTTTAAATGGGGCGAGTCCTCTTGAGATGGGTCTGAGGGGGCTCCACTGACAGACCCAGAGGAGGACAGCAGGGTGGGTAGAGCAACAGAACAAGTACAGGTTTATTCCAGCAGCCATGTCACCCTGCAACTGACAACTGGCAGCCCACTGGAGCTCAGCAGGTGTGAGCCTGGTCAGTACCTGGATGGGAGACCTCCTGGGGAAGCTAAGGTTGCTGCTGGAAGAGGTGTTAGTGGGGCCAGTAGGGGGCGCTCACCCTGTGGTTTGTGTGGGTCCTAATGCCCCAGTACCGTGACGGGGACACTATATTGTAAAAAAGCGCTCAGATGAGACTAAAAACCGAGGTCTTGACTCTGTGGTCATGAAAAATCCCAGGGCGTTTCTCTGTCCAGATTTCCCATTGGCCTTTACCAATCATGGCCTCCTAATAAACCCCATCTCTGAACTGGCGTCATCACTCTGTTCTCCTCCCCACTGATAGCTGGTGTGTGGGGAGCGTTCTGGCGCACTATAGCTGCTGTCACATCATCCAGGTGGGGTTGCACATTGGTGGTGTTGGAGAGGAGTCCCCATTACCTATAAAGCGCTTTGAGTGGAGTGTCCAGAAAAGCACTATATAAGTGTAAGCTATTATTATTATTATTATAATCTCTTTTCAGCATGGAATAAACCTTTACTTGTACCATTGCAGCCTATGCATGCCGATGCACCTATCTACTTGAACTAAGGTAGAGCAATGTTAAGTAGCACCAATCCTGGTATGTAGCTTTCAATTATACAACATGACAAAAATGCACATAATTCCAATAGACACATGCAATGTGTGATGTGACTAAGCTGTGGTTTCAGGGCTATTAACAGAAACAGCAACTGAGCCAAGAAATAATTTGAATTATGACTAAGTATGACAAGAACAACAGTCTACAGTGGCTAATTGTAACAGCACAGCTTTCCAATATAAAGATAAATCACTGACGCCTGTTTACACGGGGACTTTTTAATATTAATACTCCTTTGCATGTAAATGTGTAGGATTTGCTTTAAATGTTACTTGGTGAAGCTCTGTAAACTGTGTTTATATGCTGAGGTGCTAAATCTGTGTACAGAGAGGACATTCTTTCAGCATTCATCCAGATGTTTCTGTTCCAACATTGTTTCTGTGCTAATATTAACATAAAGTGTATAGAGAAGAGTTTGACATTGTTGTGCTTCACTTGAATATGGATTGGCTTCTCACTATCCTTTAATTACCAGTAAACAACACTGCAGTTGCTTTCCAAACACAGAAATAGAAAGTGGTTTTGCCGAAGCGGCCGATAGAAAAGCTATGAGCTGAGTTCTGTGCGCCCTCTAGTGTACATGAACCTACAATGCAAGTCTTAACCACTGACCTGTCATAGCTTGAGGAATGTGTTTTGCAAATGCACCTAATTAAACTGGAGTTGAGGTCTGACGGTGAAGCCAGCATAAAAGAAAATATTATCCCATAAACACGTGCAAACAACAGGGGCCATGAATCCCATATAGCTCACTTGGAGCCCACTTGGGTTTTCCAAATGTGTCTTCAGTTTTTTTAATCACCAGGTGTTTAACAATAGAGTGGCAGTGGTTCGCATTGCAGTTCCCCTGCAGAGCTGGGACCCTGGGTTCAGTTCTGGACTGCGGCGCTACTATCTGTGTGGAGTTTCGATCTTCTCTGTTTATTTGCTTGGGTTTCCCTCTGGGTCCTCCCACAGTCCAAAGACACGCAGTTCGGTTTGCTGGCTCTGGTGCGAGAACGAGCCCGTCTGTGCGTGCGTGTCTGTGCGTGCCTTGTGATGGGCCGGCGTCCCGTCCAGGACGGATGGAAGAAAGGAGGTGGATGGTTGATGGATTTTTACAATAATCAACCGTGTCTTCATGTGTTGGCCTGGATGCCCAACACTGACTAACACTACTGCCCTCTTCCCCTCCCAGGGTCTCCTTCTGCCCCCAGAGCGAAGACAACAGTCAGCTGCAGCCTGCTCAGGAGAAAGTGTTCGTGCGCTGCGAGGAGAACCCCAACAGGAGACGGAAGAAGAAAGTCAGCAACTGATCCGCAGACACGGGGCCAGGAGGAGCCAGGGGATGAAGACAAGCGAGCACCACTTACACGGGCGGTCACCACGCGCTCGGATGGTTTTGTTTATTGAAGAAGTTTCTCAAAGGCGAAAGTCTGCATGTTTTCTTTCCTTTCTCTATCTTGTAACAAGCCATTCTAAAAATTCTGACGGGGGGGAAAAACTATTTTTTATGGGTTTTAAAAACAAAGGTTTAGTTACCAAACAAAAAGCTTTACTACAGCTTGCGTTGCCAGGAAGAAAAAAATCCCAACTGAAGGGCACATTGTCCTGTACAACGCTATACTGAGCATCGCTTGTGCTGAAAAGGGGCACCTTTAGTAATCTTTAAGAATCACAATCCCCTAAGTTTTATAGGTACAGTTTTTACATCAACTGCCACACAATTGGGAACAATGCTTAATATACCCAGTCATGAAGACTCAGAAGGAGCTAAGGAGTAGTACTGCAACTCAAGGGGAGCCAAGCTGATATTCGATTATCAATGCTATCTACAGTAGGAGCTACAGACAAAGACAGCTGCAATGACAGAGTTCACTCTACTCTCTGGCACAAGATATATGGCACAGAACTTAAATAGGGAAATGTAACATCACCATGTACTGTACAAAGAAAAGTACCAGTTAATTTTAATAAAAAGTGAGAAAACCGTTTCTGAACTCACGCTTATCCTAACTTCACGACTATACAGCAGACTCGAATAGCTGCTTGTGAGCATTTTCATATGCTGGAAACGCTTCCCACAAGCACATGTAAGCCACTTACTCAAGATCCATTTTCATTTCTGCCAGCCATTCGCATTGAGCCTGGGCTGTGCTGACAGAGGGAGAGCTACACAAGACTGATGAAATCCTTGTGTGGGCGTCCTGTTTCCAGAATTGGCCAGGGCCACGCGAGTAGTCTTCAGAACTGGAAGCCGAGATGACGCCTGGATGAAGTCTCATTACGTCAAGTCACAAAGCCAAGTGCTCATGGTGTCAACAGTGGGATTGAGCAGGCAGGGTTACCCCCAGAATTTCCTCTGGAGCTTTCCCTGTGTTTCACGGTCAAGGCAAAACTGAGCTCAGGAAAGAGAGGGTGACAAGTCATCAGAGGAGCCTGTGCTCCAACAACCCCCATATATAATTCTCCAATTCGATCCAGAAGATGAATAACACATGACACTTTTGACTCATTAAATGGTAATAAAAACAGTTTGAGGCTTTTGTCTTCCTGCAAGAGGGCTGGGAATAATGCCAGAATCACTGTATTTCACATTTAAGATGCCACTCACAGATGTGCAAAGGGTGACTGAACTGAACATAAAGTAGTGGCATTTAATGTTGTTCATCAAGACATTAAACTTCATGGTTTGATTGGACTTGTACTTTTCACTTGATTCGAATTTGATGGAGCATCAAACCACATGACTGTACAGTGCAGGGACAGAGCCCTCTTGCAGTGCAGACTCACCCGAGTCCTGTAGGAGTTGGGGTTGCAGTCATGGCTGTCTTCTCACAAAGTGAGACTTACGGCAAGTGGCCGCGGCAGAGGGCGTCCCACGGGGCCAAGCGGCGAAGATGACACTGAGAAGAAAGAGGGCGCTTCTCCTGGCGCAGCCTCGACAGCTTGCTTGCTTTGGGCGATCAGGGGCAGCAATCTGTTCTCCTCTGCCTTTAATGAGCGCCGGCGTGACGGGTCGGCTTGCATGGTTTCTAGCCCGGAGGAAGGAAAAGAAAAGTGACGCACAAGCCTTTAGTCCATCCACAGTGCAGATCACAATTTGACATTTTAAAACTGGACCGAAGCCCTCACAAACAGAACAAAACAAAGGTCAAAAATACATCTAGGCTGCGATATTTCATTAGTAAAGACTATTTTAATTAGACTGTAATTATTACATTAGCAAACAGGCAGCAGCAGGAGAAAAGACAGCAAAACAACGTATAATTAAAACATTTGCACATGCATTTTTGCTTTAAAATTGATCTTTATAGTTGTTCATCACCCTAATCCTGCAAGTGGACACTTTCAAATGTCCTGCTAACATGTTGGCCTGAAGCTTTTATCAGTGAATGAGTCAAAATACATTTTTTTTACCCATTTTTCCATTGCTCTGCACAATGATATCACTTTTTGGAATGAATTCCCATAATTCATCAATTAGCAGGCGAGTAGAGAGAAACCAGGAAAGCTGCTTGGTGAAAGGGAAGGCTACATACTGGAGATCAGAGCATCCCTCCGGCCAAGGGTCTGGTCAGTATGCAGGTCCTCAAGCTGCAGTGGTCACAACATGAGAAATTCCAAAAAGGAATAACACATGCATCAGCTAAATCACATGGGCCAGAAAACATCTGAGGTGCTGAAAAAGTGGTGGAGTATTTCTTTACTAATGAATGAATTGTTCTCAACAACCCTGCAGAAAGTGTGTGTGAATGTGTGTTTGTGCGTGGCGGTGTAAGAGATTTTTATGGGCTGCTGCATTGTTCAAGTCAGTCAGCAATGGAGGAAGTGTGTTGATGTGAACAGGAAATCATCTAACACAGAAATAATTGAGGGCAGCCTTAACTATACATTGATACAGTCCTAGAAGTTACAGGTGCCTGGAATTGTCAGTTTACTTCTAGGTAAGTGAAAAAATGGAAAAAAAATGTTGATAGTCTTTGTAGGAGCATTTTCCATTGTGATCTGCAGGAGACAAGCACAAGCCACTCTCCATTACCACTGCGCTCTTCTTCCCCTGGTCACCTGTAGAGCTAAAAGCTGAACTGGTCTGTGCTTCAGCGCCCACACATGTTATTTCAACAGCCTCAGGACTTTGAGTAATATTTGTGTTTAAAACACTTGATTAAATCCACTAGATCTGAATGCTGCGTTTCATTTCTCCTTTAGTGCAACAAGGCTTCATGAAGAAATGACTGGCACTTTAAATTCTGGTGGTTCTGAAGGTGGGAGAGACCTTTTCTTCCCCAAAGCATAACATTTCACTTTCAATTCCAGCATAGAAAGACCATCTTCTAATAGAGTGCAGAATAAGAAATCAAGAATAAATGTGGCATTAAATTGAAAAATCTCCAATAAGACACCACCAGAGCAGTGTGCTGATGTGAAATAAACATGAAAAAAGAAACCCCACTGATATTCACAAAAGTATTGCAGAAATAAGTTAATTTTTTGGAAGGTTCGCAGCTAAGAATCCAAGAGGCTTTAAGCAGACTTTGTCCAGAACAGTACTGGTTATAAATTCACAGAGGTTGCCATGGTAAACCGGTGGTTACCTTTTGACTTCTATAACACAACATTATGATGTTTAATGAAAATGGCACTAAGTGTCATGTGTCAGCTGCTTCCACAGGGACACGGGGTTCATAATTGATTCTCTATATAATCAGGCAAGATATCTGTGTAAATTCTCCTTTCTACAATCTCAAAAGAAACTAAAATGATAGACAGGTTTCCCCCTGGGCTGGAAGTGTCACTTTAACCATAAAATTGTACTTGATATAAGAGAAGCAAGCTAAATGTTTTATTGCTGCTGTGACTCAAATAAAAAGATTTTTCCCTCATCTTTTTAGGTACAATATTGTTTTCACTAGTAACTTTGTTGACTTGCTGTTTCCTGGACAACGTGGTGCATCACTTACTACAGGACAATCTTTTCTTCCAATGCGCTGCATTTGAATGTGCGGTAACAGAACTTATTTTGCTGCAGTTTTACTCAAGATAAACTAATTCATTATCCAGGGTCTTGTTAAGGCACAGAAGCTTCAGTATGCCACATAGACCAGTTTTGTTTTTATCAAGAGCAAACTCCCTGGGTAAGTTTTACTTCCACATCAGCGTTACAAACACATCTACCCAATGGTTCAGGTTGCAAAATATTTAAAATATAAGCATTTTAATCAAATCTGCAAGTAATATAATTTAGCAGCTGCAAAACTATATATAAGAAAGATGAGTACAATTCTCTTTTGAGTCTGACTAAGAATATTGGCTAAATTCAACTTGGTTTTTATTTGTTTAATGCTTTTGCAGACTGGATTATTCTTCCCCCTGTTGTGCCATAAGATTCCAGATGAAACCTTCCAAACTCAACATAGCTTTGCCATTTTGCCACTTTACTTAGTGTAAAGAGAGCTCTGCTGAATGCCAGGCCTGCACAAAGAGTTTTGGCTCCATGTGACAAACACAAAATTCCTGCAAGCTACATTCAATACTGTCGCAGCCGAAAAGCGATGCCTCTCTTACATGCTGAAAAGTGAATGTTGGCACCAATTATGGGTTTCAAACATTACTTACCTTTAAATCCACAACCCACACAGGAGAGAGTCGCTCTCTTGCATAATTGTGACTAAACATGAGCATGAAGAAAACAGGAGATTCCTTCACAAATCTCACAACCCATGAAGATGAAAGACTAGTTTATGTTGTGTGTATGGTCGGGCATGGCGTGAAAACTTTCCGTTAACACAGGAGGTTCGATCTCTGCAGATCAGCTTTCATTTCTCATACACCAAATGCAATGCCTTTTGAAACAGGAGAGTATTTCAAAAGGCAAAATTCAAGAAATTCATACTTGCCAACCAAACCCTCAGTCAAACAGCATCAATTAAAAGCATTTTTAAATCAGAGGTTGATCGCGAACACTGATGAAGAGACCGCAATGCATGTCTGGCTGTGTACTGAATAAAATGTCTTGAAACTACTTTGATCAAGTCTATTTTATTAATGCATTTCAAGTACTTCAAAAAACTTACATGTTTCGCACAATACTTTTTTGCAATTTTGTAAAAATTTTCAAAGTGAACAAAAAAAGAAAAAAAGATACTGTATAAAACACAGCGGACATTAAAATTGGACAGTAGTATTAATTATTTCATTCTGTGATCTTTCTGCTATTGTTACCTACCACATTTCAACTCAAATTGGACATTTTCAGTGCATGTTGCTTTCAAAGACTTTCACCAAGACTTAAAAATAAAATTTCAGGCAGTTTTCATGTCTACCTGGTCCCTACCACAGAGTAACAAAGACAAGCTCAGAACAGAATGGGAGTTAAACAGGAAAAAAAAAACACAAGATCTGTTAATGTCTACCACACTCGAATGAGTTTCACTAATGAACCAACGTGGAAGGAAAAAAAAAATCTTATTTTATTATCAGCCACAAACCCATTCCAACCAACACACAATACTAAAGATTTACACTTTTAGAATCGAAGGAGGATTTGTCACATTTTTGTCAAGACCCATGAACTTGGAACATTTTTTTTTCTGGTTTTCATATATAAAATTTGACTGTTTACATGTATAAAAATGACATTTTTTTTCTTTTCCGAAACAAAAGCGAGTTTTGGATGTACTGTACAAGTTTACAAGGAAAAGTTCTCGCGTTAGTGTTTGCGTAGCGGCCCCAAACATCTCTATGGCGCTTCGAGGCGCCATCCGTGTAAACCTCCTTACAAGAAACAAGCCTGCATCCGTCTTTGAAACCTAGCATTTTCTGTCAAGAGCAAAAAAAAATAAAAAATCCAACAGACAAAAATCACTGCGTTTCCTCTTGGCTTCACTTACATTTTGAACACAGACAACAGCCACCTAAGTCTGCTTTCAGTTACATACTGGGGTCCATAATTAAACAGCCCTCGGCCACTTCAAGGTATTTGTTACGTACACTGCAACGCTGTCTTTCCAGAACTGATCAATTCACCTGCCTCCAATCTCATGATCTACATATCCTTGTAGATCTAAATCTCCTTGTGCCATTTTGAAAACGCAGATTTTGTGCCATGACTATGTTTGTCCCTTTGCTATTTCTTCAATACCAACTGGACAATGAATGACCGCAAAACATTACAAGGTTAGAATTATGACACAAGAAGTTAATTCTACCCTGAAGGCCTGGCTTTTGAAAACCGCAGGCGGATAAGAACAGCAGTGTTTCAGTATAAGCTGAGTCCAAGTACAGTGAAAGTGGACAAGGAGACCCCAGTCTTTTCAGGCACATCTTTCCTTGGTTAAACACTATAAAGAACCAACACCACAGTTTATTTCTATTGCAGGACAGATATTTACTCCACTTTACAATGTGGCATTTTCACTTCGATATTCAATTCGAATGCAAATCAGAGATCTGAAATCCCAATACAAAGGCATAACTTGCATCTTCCGTCTTGCATGGAGAAAATGAAATCAAGGTAGAGAAGAAGAGAGAGCGATCATAGCAGTTACTGCCTCTTGCCCTCTTGTGGAAAATGAGCTGATCTGACCCTGTGAGGAACTCCGATTCACGAGATACAGCAGTCCAGTTGTGTCCCACCTGCCTTCTGGACCACAAAGCTCATGTGCAATATCGTCTTAAGACATGAAGCAAACACAGGAGTAATATTCCAGGATTAAACGATATAGTTTCTCTATATACACATATTTTAATTTAAAAAAAATTATTAAAAAATCGCAAGATGGCTTCTTCAGTGAAACCAAAGGAAGAGAATCCAGTGAACAAACCCTTTTACCAAATGAGAGAAACAGTTGGTATCGACATCGTTTCCTTTGGTTTTCACTGGTATTGGACAGGTTTCAGCATCGAAAAAAATGAGGAAGAACTACTTTCAGTTTGGCCAATGGTGCAACGGCGGTACTTTATTTCAACAGCTCAAAACTTGTGTCTTTTCCACCAGCAGGTCGCCCTTCTGCTGGACTGATCGTGCTGCATCCGGGAGACACTCCCTGCTGGCAGGGTGAATACAGATTCCTCAAACTAACCTGCCCCCGAACCCTGGTCCCTCAGCCCCGCCGTTCCCTCCCCACTCCAAACTCCACAACATCCAAGAGCTGGCCTGTGGCCCCAGTTTCTGATGGGCTAAAATGTAATTCAAGCCAGGAAAACGCCGAAATTCTTAGCTCTCCTATCCTCACAGTCTGAGTCACAAACAGATCCGGCCATCTGCCGTTTAGTGGTTGTTCAATAATTAACGTCAACATGACAGCAACATGTAAATTAAGCCACGGTATGAAAGAAAAGGAAGTTCATAATATGCTAAAGTAAAAACACGCTTTCTCCTCCCATCTGTATCTCCACACGCTCCTGGAAGTCAACACATTCACATGAAGCCAGCCCAAAAGGCTTCTTTTGAAAACAGCGCACTAGAGTATCTAATATTTCAGCAATCCAACAGGTGTCATTCACTGACAAAACCTTGAAACGCATCAGAAAAGACCTACATGCAACCTTTCTCTCCTTCCCCAGAGTTGTCTTTATTTTTTTTTTTCTTTTCATCTTCTATGCAACTTTATATCCTAGCAGCTGTTCCTATCAGGCAACACAAACACAGCCATATTCAATCCATCCCAACCCATTAATAATACCACCCAGAGGACAGAAGTTCTGAACTTCCTAGATAGTCACGGCCACTGCAAGAGAGAGTCAAAAATACTCAGTCATGCCCGAAAGCCCCCATTTCCTTTGTTTTTTATCCTGAGAGTGTCAATTAAAACAGTAAATTGTTCATTAAACAGCAGAAAAAAAAGTTTTGTTTTTTCTTATAATACAATGAAAAAAAATCTATATTGCGATTTCTGTACAATTGCACGCAGAAATATGGGTACGCATTAGAAATACAGGCCTGCGCATTTTTTTAACAATATTGTTAATTACATTGGCAATTAAGTCATTGACTTTGAGGTCGTCTCGCTTCTTGGTCTTGAGTGGCAGCAAAAGACGGTTCACCTGCAGTCATGTTCTTCTGCAAAGGAGGGCGTGACTTAAAAAAGGTGAAAAAACAATTGGAAAAACGAAGAGAGAAGGAGCAAAATTCTACAGCTATACCATTGGGGAGGGGGAAAAGGGACAGTGTGCCATTCCAATAAAAAAAAGTCTGAAGAAGGTTAAGACCACATTACAATGGAAAACTGATTTGTCGGTTTTCCTTTTCTTTAAAAAGAGATGAAGTGGTTTGAAAAACAAAAAGCTGTGTGACATCCTCAGCTTTGCTGGGTCCAAGAGCAGTGGCGAGAGCGTGTGTGTGTGTGTGTGTTTGTGTTGTCGTTTGTTTCCTTGTTTGCCATCTGGGTGCTGAATGGGGACAATGACTATACAGGTTTTCTTTGGAGAGCAGTTTTCCCACTGTAGGCACTACGAAGAACCAAGGCAAAGAGGCCCAGTTAGCGTCTCATCTGTCCCATCTGATAGTTCTCCCGGGGCTGCCGCTGGCGCTGGGGCTGGGGGTTTGCTTGCTGTGGTCTCCGCCTCTTCAGAGTGCCTGTGGGGAGACCAAGTCCAGGGTTACGCCTCTGTCAACAAGGCAGACCTGGTCCGGCGCTTACTGCCCGTTAATTCTGCCCAGGGCACACCACGTAACACGCTTTCATCAGTTTGTGTCTGTGGACAGACAGAAACACCTTTCCCATAGTACATCAGATCTGTTTGTCAAGAGCGTTTGTTTTTTTTCCCCAATCAGGTATTCAATTGTCAGGTAAGTCAGGGGAATCTCGGAGAGCGCTGCGCTTTCCACAATATTAGCGCAAGGAAGTGAGTCCTGACTTTGCTTATGCTCTTCCTTGTTCTGTTGCAAAGTCTGAATGCTGTAGTAAAAACCGCACCCCTCATTTTAATAGGATTTTCATAATACCTGACCTCTTACAAAAAAATCTCACCTCTTAAGTATGCCTGATTTCATAAACAGGGATTGGGGAAAAGATCAGGAAGCCACAAATCGGCAAATTGTCTTAAAAAACAATCTGGACACAGATCTGATCCTCTTGCTGAAACACTGCTCCTCTCCAGTTTCCACAGGACTGCTACATGCATCTAACGTGAAAGCTTAGACAGATGCTGACTGGATCTTGTGCACACGATCTGTTCTGACCCTTATCCTCACCTGGCAGTGGTTTGGGTGGAGGCAGTTTGGGATTGCTGCTGGGAGTGTGCACACTGCAGATCTTAATGAAGCCAGCCATCAACATGATGAGTGCGATCCCCATCAGCAACACAGCCCACCAGTGTGCCTGGACCAGGAAGAGAGATCAACACGTTAACCAAGAGACTCACTGATAGTTTTGCCATGCACCTCAGTCCCACACTGTGATTTTCTGACTACACTTTGATACAGCCTGCATTGTGACTAGGACATCTGTATAAAACAAAAACATTCCTGTATTTTTTTTTAAATCTTATTTTCATTATGAAATTCGGGTGAACTAGTGCCTCTATGATAAAGAATGATGGAGCTGTAAATATACATGCACAGGGAGATCAGAGTTTTAAAATATAATGTAGCAATGCTAAAACAGAAAAATATAAACACTACAAAAAAAAATAATCCACTTTTGGTCCTAGTGTGCCTCAATTTGGCAGAGTGTACAGAGATTAGATTAAATTATATATATATATATTCCTAATTCAGCAACTGATTGATCCAATTAAAACATTCCCAATTTAGCTGGAACAAGAACCAGAGGTCCAATAACTAACAGACCCAAGTTGGTCACATTTGTAAAATTATTTTAAACAAAGTAGGTTTTTGAGTAAACAAAATAAATAGTAGAGGTCTCCAGTCCCGAAGAGCTGCAATCCAGTTATTCTGGATTGGATTTAGGCCACCCTAATTCACCTGCTATTTGACAATTAAGAACACTTCTTTAAGCAATTGATCAATTAAGTAAGCAATGTTTAAATGAAGGGAACACTGGTCCTTGAAAGATGAAAGATTCTAATTTTTGCTCCAAATAAATGACTTAATAGAACACACCACCTGGTCCCCTGAAAACTGAAGGATATTCTGATTTCTGTTCCAGATTATCTCTAAATGACTTAATTAAACACACCACCTGTTTACTTGATCATAGTTAAATTGTTCCAAAACTCTGGGAATCGATTATTTTGGAAGCCAACTATAACAGTTGTTGGACTGGGGAATCTCCAGATCCAGAGCTGGAGACCCCCTGATTTACAGAATCTCTTTTAGAAGATGAAGATCTTGAACTTCACATCCTCATGTTGCCTGAGAAGTGTGGACCATGACTTCATTTCGCCACAGACTGAAAACAAGCTCTGCTGCTTTTTCTTCTTTAGGCCCACTTGCAAACTAAAACAAACACACACACGACTCTCCCAACAACTTCCATACAAGCGTCACAAAACACAAACACTCCCACCCATGCCGGCAGGTTACTCACCACTATCCACTCGGCAATGTTCTCGTACAGCTCCGGGTTAAAGATGGCTTTCTTCAGCCTGGCCAGGGGCCCGTCGGCGTCCACCAGCCGACACTTCATGAACACGTCACAGTACCCCCTGAAGTCGTTGCACGGGGACCCGGGTTGTAGTGTGGTGACCTTCTTGTTGAAAAACTTGGACCACTGGTCTGAACCCGTGCTGCTGCATGTGTCTGGTCTCACTGGGCGAGAGAACAAGGTAGTGCTTAATTGAAGAGTTTCAATCTCGTCAAATGCTTGGCTGGCTTCCTTTACAAAAAAAATAACAGGCAGTTTGCTTTGGCTCGCCTTAAAACATCTTGGTTATAGTTATGTAAGAGACACTGGGGATGGACACATTAACCACCCCAGAGAATACGGAAAAGCACACACAGGCTCGGCTTCAAATCGCTGCAGAAAATATAAAACTGGAATTCGGTTTTATCAATATCGGCGTTCTTCCAGTTCTCATAAAAAGAATGAACCAGACTGGCTGAATAATAAGTGTCTGGATTTAAACCCACAACTAGTACATTTGACCTGTATCTTACAGAGATGGAGAGTTATACTAACACATTTAACATGGTTCTTAAAAACGTCTAACACTGCAAAGCAAAGCAATGCATCAGCTGCATATTTTGGAAGGGGCCCAGAGTGCATTGACAGCAAGCCAGTGTGGCTACTTGGACGATGCAGGTGGACATGAAAGAGTGGCGCCGCCGTGCAGGACCCAGGGCCGGCAGAGGCAGCTTACTTTTCTCCATGCAGCAGACATGGCACAGCTCGGTGTCGTCTTTCCCGTCGCCACTGGCACAGGTGCACACCTCCAGCCCGTATTTCTCGCAGATGGAGCCGGTGCATTGCTGCAGGGGACAAGACAGCAGGGCTGAGCGCCTGACACACTGACCACTCGACCACATGCACTGCTGACCAGCGCCCCCCCTTCCCTCAAAACGCAGGGCCATAGCCCCCCTCTTGCCTTCGAAACGCAGGGCCAGAGCCCCCCCTCTTTTCAATCCTTTTATACAAGACATGGACTGATGGTGTTGAACACAGCTCTTCAAAAACCTCTGCAGATTCAGAATCCTACAATTGCAATGCGAATGTGCACATCTAAATAAACTGCAGCCCTGTTCCAACATCACTAACCCCAACCATGTGGAAAACATGCAGTAAAGGTCAGCATAAAGTAGTCTGAAAATGAATTGTTGACCGAATTCTACTCTTTTGTCTTGCTAATTAATCTATGCTCTGTTGTGCCTGAATGTTTTTTTTCTGAAGCAAGTTTCCTCATTACCTCCTTCACAAAGAAAGGAAAGGAACAGCATTCCTCTGCACCCACCCTCTGCAAATACCAGGTACAGATCGAGAATCACCCCCACGCGCTGAAACCCCACGCTTTACTGACCCCGTTGAGGCAGACTTGAGTTTCTCCATGGCAGGCGGTGAAGTTGGCCTTGGGCTCGGAGGTGGGGCACTGGGCGGTATTGCCATTGCAGAAGCCTTGGTGGGCACACTCGGACTCCTCCCGGCACTTCTGGATGTTGCTCCTGAAGGTGCAGTCCGGGTTACAGCACGGGCCCTGGCTGGGGCTGGGGAACAGGCAGCGGCGTGGCACGCCATGTTAGTCGCACACACTTGGGGCATGCACAGCTCCGTTCGAACGCCCGGAGCCTGCGTTCGTACAACTCGCAAGCTCGTTTTTACAAATACACTGCATTTTGGAGAACTAGCAAAACTATTTTATAAAGTAAATGCAATTCCCAACTGAAAAAAAGGGTATTTTCCCTTCGATGTGAAGTCCTGTCTGACAATAATTGATGTCAAGGAGCAGAGCAGAGAAATTTCCAGGGAGAATTTTGGCCATTTTTCGAGAAACACCCTGGGATTTTTAATGACCACGGAGACTCAGGATCTCTGGTGAAATGCAGAAATGCTATCAGTTGTGGTACATACAAGACACGTACATGTAATTCAGCATGTACAGGTCTAGCAAGAGATCCAATCCTCTTCATTTAAAACTTGAATCGGGAATAAACCACAAAAACCTACTCCGCGTCAGCATTCACACACAATTGAGCCTGAGCTGGTGGCGTGCCCTCCAACACAAAATCTAGGCAACGCTGAAATGTACAGGCGTACGCAAACTGATCACTCAAAGCTCCAGGGTGTGGCTCCATCTGAATGCATACACTGCAACTTGCCTGCACTTTTTATTTGGCTTCAGCTTGCACTTCAGGTGGTCTGGCTCGTTGGCATGATAGCAGCACGAGTCATTGCACTGGTCACTGTAGCCACAGTCGCACTGTTCCCCATTCTCCACCAAGCCATTGCCACAGATAGGCTGCCCGGATTCTGAAAGCACACACCAGGACAGCGGTTATAATACAGACAGCCTCCCAAACCAGCTCTCACACCACAGAGCTCAAAATGTCAGTCTTCTAATAGATTAGTAACCTCTATATGAAAGTGCAAAATGTGTTACCCTGAGGGGCTCACTCTCTTCCTCTTCTCTTGGACAAGAAGTATGAATTTCAAAAGGACTGCTCTGATGAACAGTATAAGTGTTTCCAGACATCAGTCTCTCGTAGGTCTGGGTGAGGAGGTTTTTCCTTTTTTAGAACGCTATGCGATCAGAGGTAAAATAACATTATGGGACAAAGGAGTGAGAACGGGTACAAAGGCACCAAATGCGAGACATTCTGGCTCGCCTAACCCGGTACGATGTCTGTCAGTTGCCGGGGACACGGCATCATTCCCCTGTGTGTGTGTGTGCTGCCAGGAAAGCTGCTTGTGCACCTTGGCTTCCCCAGCTCCAGGGCGGTGTGAAGCAGACACCTACCCACAAAGCAGTTGCCTCTCTTCTTCTCCAGCACCTGGCTGATATTGCGGATGCTGCAGATGGAGAACTTGTTGTTGTTGAGCTTGTCTCCGGAGGTGGCTCTGGCGTACATGATGTAGTTTCCCTTCTCCTTCAGATCCTGGCTTTTGGACTCCCCTGGAGTGCATTCGGTTCCAGAGTCATGCTGAGAGCACGATGAGCAGAGCAACAGAAACAGAGGGGTCAGGCTGGGGTTACAAGAGGTCACATTTCTTTTTATTTCTTCATATTAATTACAAAATTATTACAATCCCATGCAATCTGGAATCCCTAAGTGATTTATTTGGCTCACAGTGAAGACCCATATGGAGGAATGAGGAAGTTCAAACAGGCTCCTCTAAGCTGCTCACCCTTAGAGCCATTCACCCTTTGACCTTTTTGACAGGCATTGCAGTGAAGTTACAGGAAGCGCAGCAGAGGAGGGGCACGTCCCTCACCGACATCACTAGCAAAGCCTGTAACCTGCAGGAGTCAGCAAACCATGACACCTTCACTGTTCCAGGTACCTTTACACACTGCTGCAAAGCCTTCAAGGGACTGGTTTATAAGACTGCTATTTATTGATTTATTCAATCTGCTGAATTGTCTAGGACACAATGAACACCTAAAGGCAATGGGGTGAATGCATCATCTCTCCAAAAAGCAGGTAATAAATACAGTACTAAGCTTGAGTTTCACCTCTACCATCTTTAACAGAGAGTACGTGGCATGGGTGATGTTCCTGTAAAAAACATTATTGCTTTGTTACTCTGGCTTCAGATTCAGCGTTTTTTCTTTTGCTATCTATGATATTGTGTAGCTTCAAACTTCTGCACAACCAGTGCCTTTTACGGGTTTTATTTTAACCAAATATAAGAGACATGGGTTTCATGAACTGAGGCTGAGGTTTTAACTGTATATCCAGCACACTCAGATCAGCAACATGGCCAGGAAAATTCTTAGTACTCACCGGGGAGCCAAAATTGTGACCAACTTCATGAGCAAAGGTTATGTGAGAGACTTTTGGCGGCACGTGGGAGGCGTAGTTCTGAACAGTGATGATTCCAGTGTTCAAGGACTTCTTTTTTCCATCTGAATACAGCTTGCTCTTTTCACAAATACCCCCTGAGCTACCTGCAAAATGTAATAATGTTTTTTTTTTTTAAAAGAGAAACTTAATGATTACACCCTTTTAAAAAAATATTTTAGCAAGTAACGAGTCAAGTGTCTTTCTTTTTTTGAGATGCCTGCGGGAACCGGCAAGTGTAAGATATCCAGCCAGCAAATCCAACACAAAATTCAGAGACTACAATGCAATCCCTGTCCCCCAAATCCAACCAGATTTTCATGTGCATGAAAATTATTTTTAAATGGATAGCTGCATCGTCAGTTTTATTTTTTAGTTGATTAAATGTGCTTTCCAAGGCTGAAAGCCCCTCTTTCCAATGCAATGTAAAAAAAAAATAAAACAGACATCCACATTTTTGATTCACAGGTCCTAGTTCCTCATATTTTGTTCTTGTCACATGTCGAAATTATTGAAACTTTATGTGTCAGATTTCTTCCAAGAATTCTGCTATATTAATTTAGTGAGGAACTTTACAGCTCAACCGAGAGCCCTGGGATGCGGAGAAGTCTTATTCTGGAATGCCAACGCTCTGCTCAAGCACGTTTGGGTTTGGAGAAAAAGGATTTTCCTCAGCTTTCACAAATCCTGTTAGTGCTGCTGCTACAGAGGTTTTACGACAGGGGAGAACTTCATTTGGAGAAAGGGGGGTCACCACAAGGTCATTCTTAAAGAACATCAACAAAAAGGAATTCTGAAAAACAAACTTATCTGTTTATTTTATGCAAGCCCTGCTCATAGCTCAGCTGGGAGATAGCTCAGCCTTTATGATTCACTGAAAGTCCCCACACCCTTACAATTTGCCACGCACAGCACATTAATCTGCCTTATAAAAGGAAATACGGTAAACTTTCAAAATGGCTATTTCCAACAACTGTAAGTAATCACCACCTGGATTCTGTAGAACACAGTCGTCCTTTGGTGACAAATGAGTTAAGACCCGCCTTTAACACAGTCACAGCAAAAGACAAATGCTTAAAACAGCAGATTTCTTTTTTTTTTATGGTGGCATTCTTTAAACCTTATCTCAAACTTGTAAAAGAGAAACCTGGTTTCTGAGTGTATTGCTGATATCTTTCCCCAAAGTCAGGGGACCAAGGCAGTTTGGATTTCAAAGACCAACTGAGCAAGCGCGAGTGATGAAAACACTTGGGAGCCTGTCACTGGAATAGCACTGTCTTCACACAAAAAACTCTGATAGTCCTAAAGGGGGCGTGGGGGCGTGGGGGGGTCCTGGCAAAATGAAAACAACTTTTCAGAGGCTTTACTACTGCTGCACAATGAGAATCTCCTAAACATTGCCCTTCAAAGCAAGATATTAGCTGGGAATGTTCAGGTGTACCGTTTAGAAGATGCGTCTCTCCGGATATAAAATACAAATACAAACTACTACGACACAGTGTAATTCTACTTCATTACTTCAGTTCACTGAACCCTGAGCACAGGCTACACTGCCTGCGGCTCTCCAGTAATCATTAAGGTATTAATGGTAATTAATCAACACTAATAGAAAGGTCAAAGCTTCATTCCAGTCCCTGGTGCACTGGTCATTTTTATCCCAGTGTAGGGAATGTAAAACAACAAGATTTTCCAGCTAAAATATCAGCTGGAAGAGACTGAATTGTCTAACTTAAAAAAAAAAAATCTACTGTGCTTCTACTGACAGCTTTTGGAAAGAAGAGACGTTGAGGTTTTCACCAAAGCATCCAGTATTTGGTCTTAATATCCATTTTTGTCTTCTATGAATGCCTTCTCTTACAATAATGAGTGTTATTTCAAATATTATCATGATTACTCCAATCAGATGAGACCGTGAATCCTCAACAAAGGTTCGTCAGGATTTGTCCTCCTCTTTTGCAAATTACTGGCCAGCCTGCTGTCTTAAATTGAGAAGAGAATACAAATGAAAGTAAATGATACATCTGTCCAGCCTGAAACTGGGACCAAAGTGAGTCTTTGGTTAAAACTGATGCAAGCAAGGTTTGGGCTTGAAAACAATGTGCATTTAAACACATTACAAGCAGCCTTTGTGAGCCTCCTGCATTAAACACCAGTAAAACACTCAATTTTCTTCAAATTACCGGAGGTAATTCAAAGTCAAGCAGCCCTGGAAGAGTCCTGCATTAACGCCTTTTAGAATGCAGCACACGCCAAAACCCATGCTGACTACAGACATTGTACGACTTCAAACTGAAGGTAGCTGTACAGCACGAAAGCAGACATTTGATATGAATTATTCACTCAGCTTGAATGTATTCAAAGGCAGTGCATCTGAGCCAAAAAGCGCCTTTACAGCGCATTTGGTCTGTGGCTGCATTGACTCCTCTCCCTTTTTTAGTATGCTTGTTTCGATTTTGACCCATAGTAACCCATCTTCCTGGCTAGGTAGTTTTAAAGGAGATCTATGCCAGAGCTGCAATAGCGTTTTGGACTAATATCAGATCAGGGTTAGGTTCCTCACTTCCACATAAAAGTTACAGCTGTTCAATAGTTAAAACTAACTGAGATTAAGTGCATGGTATTTTAAATTGTTCTGTAGTCACAGAATAGTCAGAAGCTATATTACCCTGCAACTCGCAACTGGCAGCCCACTGAAGCTCAGCAGGTGTGAGCCTGGCCAGTACTTGGATGGGAGACCTCCTGGGAAAGCTAAGGTTGCTGCTATCAATGGGACCAGTTGGTGGCACTCACCCTGCGGTCTGTGGTGGTCCTAATGCCCCCAATATATTTGTAAAACGAAGGCGCTGTCCTTTGGATGAGACGTAAAACAGAGGTCCTGACTCATGGTCAGTCAAAATCCCAGGATGTTTCTTAAAAAGAGTAGGGGTGTTACTCCGGCATCCTGGCCAAATTTCCCATTGGCCTTTACCAATCGTGGCCTCGTAATAAACCCCATCTCTGAACTGGCTTCATCACTCTGTTCTCCTCCCCACTGATATCTGGTGTGTGGTGAGAGTACTGGAGCACTATGGCTGGTGTCGCATCATATGGGTGGGGCTGCACATTGGTGGTGGTGGAGGGGAGTCCCCGTTACCTGTGAAGCGCTTTGAGTGGAGTATCCAGAAAAACGCTATAAGTGTAAGGAATTGTAAAACAAATCTCGCATTAAATGTTTGTTTGAGAGTTTGTGAATGAAAACTTGATCAGAAACATGCATAGACAGAAGTACTTGTTAAACTAAAATGTTAGAGCATTTTTGTGACCATTACACTAAAGCTTGTACAATACCAGCTCATAGATGAAGCAGCATTTACAGAGTAGGGGAAGGGGCTTTCTGATTATGGATTGAAGGAATAACGTTATTAAAATTAATATTTACACACAAGCAGAACATAGCAAAACGTGTTCATTGAGGAGGTGTGACCATATCTTAAAGTGGAATTAAGTAAGAAAACAATTTTTCTTTACAAAACAGAGTTCAAAATAAAACGAAACAGCAATAAAATCCCCTATAGTAGGGGTTAACATTTGTGTTCTAATTCACAGGCTCGTAACGATCCTGAAATTCAGATAGTGTGCGCTATCGAAGCTACCGGAATTCATTTCTATTTTGATTTATTCCAGAAATTGCTGGGAAGCTTTACTGAAGCACAGACATATTTTGCATGTAGGCGGTACAGCAGAAGTGTGCAGCAAAGGTATTGGAACTTAGCCTTGCAATTGTAGTTACAGGTTTGCTGCCTTTTTCATCCTAAGAACCAACAGAGTTTTTTTTTTTATAACAAAAGCCCTAAATGTTTTGCCGTTTTGCAACAAAAGCAATGTCCATTTTTTGATGGACAAGCCAACTCATATGAACCATGGAAAACAAAGTAACACTAAGCCAGGCATTGAAATAGGATCAAAACGGACAGTCCAAACAAGGAGGTTTGATTAAAAATCATTAAAAGAATTAACACAATACCATTTTTAATTAATCGCATACTATAGTTGTGATTAATTGACAACTCACAAAAACCAAAGAAATGCCGGTTGACAGACGTCTTTCTAACTTGTAATAGGTTTATGCCATGCTGAAAAGAAAAGAAAGAAAACAGAACCTTTCG